TTGATTTCTGTTTATAAAATTGCATTATAAATTTTATATTTCACTTTTATGGATATTTTTTGTCTGTGCCTTAAATTTGTAAAACAGTGTCCGCCATATTAGACATGTCGTGACGTCACTGATCCAGCCTAAGGATATTAGCGTAGACAGAGAATGCTAGGATTCTCTGTCTACCGCTATTAGTGTTCTGTACGTTAGTACTCTTATTAGTTTGTGGTGTTCTGTATCACCATAGATTACTGTGTATATACTAGAGATGTATCACTGATTAAGAGTACTAGCTAACGTGCTGTGTTATTTCGAAAATTTTGAAGTTATCATTACAATTATTGAGTTTTATTACGAATTTTATTGAAAAGACATCATGGAAGATGAATTCGTAAGAGCAGAAAGTTATCTACTAAGGATAAATAAATTGATGGTGGCAAATTTTTTGCATGCAAGCACAATTTTTGTTCTGCTGAGTTGATGAATGGTAAAACATCAATGTAAGTACCTAGTTATGCATCCCGGTATTCATGGAACTGCACCGTAGACTATAACAATTCAAGCGTAAGCGTGGGCGTAGATTGCTGAATTGCGACTGGAAGACGGGTGGTCTTTCGCGTGAATACTGATAACTGTTCGTTAGCTTAAAGATCTAGAATAAGAATTAGGATAGTCTTAGTTTGGCTCGCACATGTATCGGACATGTAGCCTTAGGTTAGAATCCATCGCGGATTAATTAAGTAGTATATAAGTAATGTATCGCACATTAATAGTTATAAGTTTATTAAAGTCTTTTTAAAAACGTCCTGAGTCAAATTCGAATTTTGACTGGCGCAGCCGGTAGGATTTCGCGTGTAAAGCTTGCTCGTATAATAAATATAAGACTCCCAAATCAGTCTTCGCGAAGCAGTTTACGGTGCCATTTTGCACTTTCGCGAAATCGACGAACCGAAATAAATTTGTCAAATTCGAAACAGTACATCAAGAAAGAAGACTTCTTAGCCCAGGCGAAAGGATGAGTTCGAGTGTACTGTGAGTAAACCTTTTCACGTCCATCTCTGTTCCCAACTATCTTGCTAAATTATAATTCTTAAATCGAACAAAATAAATTGCACAAGCATAGGCAATTTATTATATAGCATTAAGTATAATAATTAAATGTTGAAAATTGAATAAATAAAATATATTAAATTGTGTTATAAATAATAAAAATTACATAATTAAAGAAATTAAAGGATATATTAAAGAAATAAAAGGATATATAAAAGAAATAAAATTAATAATTATATAAATTAAAATTAATAATTAAATTAATAAAAATAAATTAGTAATTAAATATTATATAAATTGTTATATTAATATTAAATAAAATGGAACAATTACGTGTAATATCTAAGGATTTACTTTGTCTTATACCTAAGTTTGAAGGAAAGGAAGAATTATTAAATTTATTTATTAAGAAAGCTCAATACATATACAGGTCTTTCGCAGACCCTAATAATGCCACACAAACATTATATGTATTCCATGCGATAAGCAGCCGATTAACAGGTAGGGCAGCACATTTGTTAAGTGAGCGTGATGATATTAATTGTTGGAATACGCTTAAAGATATTTTATTTCAACATTTTGGCGATCCGCGTTCGGAAGATTGCATAGCTATCGAATTAGAACAAATGAAAATTAAGTCTGGCGAATCATTTATCGATTTTTGTCATAGGATACAACATATGCGTAGTACTTTATTCGCAAAAGTCAATCTAATACAGAATGAAGGATTAAAAGCAGCCAGAATGAATGAGTGTATAATAATATGTCATTAAATGTATTCCTTTATAATTTACCAGAGGATTTAATTCGTATCGTGCGTCTTAGACAGTGTACTAGCTTAGAATCCGCTTTAAGTGTCGTAACCGAGGAAGTGAACTTCATGAACCAATACAATGCTAAAAATAAAATGAAACAGAATATAACATCCCAGAATTTTAAACCCCAACAAAGTGTTAATATTTTACCTAATAATAATTCATCGTATTTTAAATCTGCAAATCCACATTTTGGACCACAGAATAAATTCCAATTGCCTAATACCATAATGCCATAACTTTAAATTTGGAACCCCATATCAGCAGCAAGGTCAAGGATTTTTTTGCTCAAGATAATTTTAATAATGGCCCAAAATTTAATAATAATACGGTACCACAGAACTTTAAGTTTGGTATTCCAAACCAGCAACCTAATTTTAAATTTGGTATACCTCAACAACATCAGGGCTTTAGGTCACCCAAGATAAATCATGCGCGACCTCCACTAGGTTTTACAAATCAACTCCAAAATAATTTTAAATTTGGCATACCTCAACAACATCAGGGCTTTAAGCCACACATGAATAATCATGCGCGACCCCCACTAGCTTTTACAAATCAACCCCAAAATAATTTTAAATTTGGTATACCCAATCAGAATTTCCAAAAACAAAATTTAAATGAAAATACCGATGTATCTATGCGTACCGCACGTCCGATAAGACAAAATATGCTAGATGACTCTAGGATTCCCCAAGATAACGAGATATTCTATAGTAACGAACCCGAAATACCAGCGAAATATTATAACCATAATATAAATTACTGTGACGCGGATAATTACACGTATAATTTAGAAGTGCCCCAATTTGAAGTAGAACCGTAAAGTGAAATAGAAGAAGTAAGTCATAACCCTAATATAATTTCGAATGATACTGAAAATTTTGAGATAGAAGCTCCCCGATCCACCCCCGAAATAATACAAATAAATTGTGACACGACTTTTAAATTCCCGCATATTGAGATCCCGGAAATTCAGGCTCGTTTTATGATAGACACCGGAAGCACGAGATCTTTTATAAGTACATCTAAGGCAGAACAATATTTCTCCGCTTTCAAATTATATGAACCTTTCGAAGTAATAAGTACGCATGCACGTAGCCAACATAACGAAGCTATATGTACCCCGCTCTTGAAAACATTTAAAAGTTTAGAAAAACACAAATTCTATGTATATGACGTTGATAGTAGATATGACGGTTTAATAGGTTCGGATATTTTAAAACAATTTGACGCTTCAATAGATATGAAAAATCAAGTATTGCATACACGCGACACAAGTATACCTATTATATATAACCCCCCATACGAAATTATGTTGGAACCAAGAACGGAAACGCAAGTCAAGGTCCCAACGAATATGCGGAATGTAAATGCGATAATAGACTATGTTTGGTCAAGGTCCTAAGATGCCAAGTGCTATAGTAAAATGCGTTAATTCGTTCGCGTACACGGTGATACAAAATGCGTCTGACAAAAAGGTTACCATGACGTCCTCTAAGTCCCTAAAAGTAACCAAGGAAATTAAAAGATTACAAAATAAGGACACAATATTATCTAAGCCCCTAAAAGTAACAAAAGAAATCGAAAGATTACAAAATAAGGACACAATTTTCTCTAAGCCCCTAAAAGTAACTAAAGAAATTAAAAGATTACAAAATAAGGACACAATATTTATAAAAGGCACGAATGTTAGTAGAAGTAAGGATAAAGCGCGTTACGAAAAACAGAGGTCATAGGAGGTATAGTTAGAAACACAGTAGCAATTAAGTATCACGGTCAAAATACAAGGGCCCGAATTAAGGATATAAAACGTCCTCCAAAGGTTCATTCTATTCCTGCTGCAAGTCTTCAGGACCCAGGCCCTTCTTCTTCAACCGATTGTCCGAAATTCCCGATAAACGAGGGACAAGCTCTCATTAGTAACGATAAGTGGTCTTTAGTTAAGATATTAGACTTAAGCTTAATACGTGAGGATCTAGAATTTAATAAGAATCGGTACGATAACCTAAATACACATGTGACACGTTATTTTGGTAAAAGAATAATTAACTCTGAAATAGATAACTTAAAAATCCAAACAGATTATATTCAAAATATAACAATTGAAAAATTAAAACAACTATTACCATCGAAGAGGGTTAACCGCGGTATTCTGAATCCTCTCGGGTCTCTTATTAAAATCGTGACAGGTAATTTGGACAATGATGATGCCATAAGGTACGATGCTTTAATAAATGATGTAAAAGTAAATCAAGGTCGGCTAAATAGAAAAATGACAGTGGTCGCCGAAATGATGAAAACCTTTATTAATGTTACAAATAGTACAAAATTCAATTTCATACAGCTGGATAAAACTCTTTGGGAAATGAGAAAACAAATTAATATAACAAAAAACTCTCAAACGGAACTTAAAATATCTAACGTATATAACCTGTTTCTACATAACTTTCAAACTATATATGTCAAACTGGATGAAATTGAAACAACGGTAGCTTTTAGTAAACTGGGAACATTGCACCAGTCTATTATTGACACCAATGAACTCTTGTCTTTGTAAAAAATTATTGAACAAAGAAATAATCTTGAATTTCCTGTAAAAGTAGAAAACATTTTAAAATTAGAGCAAAGTATAGATTTAAAAGTATATGCAAAGGAAAATAAAATTACCTTTATTCTAGATATACCCCTAGTTAATTCGAATACATATATTTATTACAAAATTCTTCCTTTACCTAGCACTAATTCCATGAACCAAACATCCCTTATTGTACCCAAATACCCCTACCTTCTGATGAAAGGGTTGAAAGCGGTGTCACTTCATCACCCATGTAAAGAAATTGATCACGTTAATTAAGGATGATTGTGTAAACAGCCTAATGAGTTTTGCAACTAATACCACCCAATGCCGGCCCCTATTAGTAGAGTTTGATGATGTAAAGATAATGAAAATAGAAACCGATCGATGGATATTCTATTCAAAAACTACAGTATTACTTACCAAAAAATGTGGAAATGAAATATCATACTATAATTTAATTGGGACATACATAATCTCAGCCGACGACAACTGCGAAGCTAAAATTAAGGGATTCAGTCTGAAAAGGCATCATGAAAATATGGAGGAGTATCCGTTAACTCCTTTACCAATAATAAATCTTCCGGAAACATCACAGTTGTTAATGAAGACATCTTGAAACCCAGCAGCAGTAAACCTGGATGACGTAGACCTGATCAATCTACAGCAGCTAAACCACATATTAACCAGTGATAGTGTAAAAAGTGAGCAAAGTGAAAGTGCCATAAATGTGAAGGACATAAGTATCAGGACATTAATTTTATATGTAGTTTTAGTTATAATAATTATAATCCTTTATAAAAAATATTTGTATCGAAATTATCTGAGGGGGGAAGAGTTATGCATCCCGGTATTCACGGAACTGCACCGTAGACCAAAACAATTCAAGCGTAAGCGTGGGCGTAGATTGCTGATTTGCATCTGGAAGACGGGTGGTCTTTCGCGTGAATACTGATAACTGTTCGTTAGCTTAAAGATCTAGAATAAGAATTAGGATAGTCTTAGTTTTGGCTCGCACATGTATCGGACATGTAGCCTTAGGTTAGAATCCATCGCGGATTAATTAAGTAGTATATAAGTAATGTATCGCACATTAATAGTTATAAGTTTATTAATAAAGTCTTTTTAAAAACGTCCTGAGTCAATTTCGAATCTTGACTACCTATTACCCACTTTTGTTTATACAAAAACACAATACCAGGTGAGAGTGTATTTTGATAAAACATAGTTTAGTAGCTATCATAGTTTAGTTTATCTATAATAACAATCATTAGCAATCGTTAGTTATAATGTCTAAGTTAACGTAATTTATTACAAAATTTTTCTTGCAACACCCTTCCCTCATGATGTTTGTATTGAATTAAAGGATAGTTAAATATAAGTCATACTTACATCAAAATGATCTTCACAGAAGAATAGTCTGGATTGTGTAGACAATGTATTCGGGTATCTTCTTGCCAGTTTTAGCCAAGTATTTCTTATATTTGAATCAGTCAGCACTTGAATCCATAACTATCTCAGCGTTCTTATGCTCGTATTTTTGGGCACAACATCAGGCACAACACAACAATGATTTAGATGATAACTCATTATTAAATATTAAAAAGTATCTTATCCCTTTGCAAAATCGGCAGAATCAACGACTGTGACGTCACGAGTAAAACATAATGGCGGCTAGCGTTTTCACGCGAAAATTTAAAACGATAGATTTAAAGTAATTTTATGGCACTATTCGGTTTAAAAAATATATATATAAAATTATAGTGGTTCCTTATCACTCTAGGATTAATTTAAAATAATTTTTTAAAATGGGTAAAATACCCTATTTGGACACGGATAACAGAAGTGTATTAAGAGCGGCTTCTTCACCCAGTATTTCTTTTTTCCCTTTTTTTTTTCAGTAACACTGCAGAAAGAACTATATTTGAACGTGGTAATGTTTTATAATGTGGTAACTTTTTTTTAACGTGGCAACGTTTTTAAACGTTGTAACATTCTTTAAATCACGCTGCAGCTTATAAGTACTATATTATGTTAGTAATTATTAATTAATTAGTTATTTTATAAGTAAATGTTAGTGTCTATGGGCCACAGTATCCATTTATCATCAGGTGGACTGTGTGCTCGGTTGTTAAACTTACTCTATTCTAGTAGATAACCGACGTGTGTAAATTGAAAAAAGGAAATTTTGTTTATTTATTAACTTTTTTATATAGTGCCTTATGCATGGTTTTTTTTCGTGGTCTTAAACCACCTTTGCATTATTGCCTTTCTAATGAAACTGGTTTTGGGTACAACGGTTGGATGGTTTCAAAGTCTATAACGGACATATGTAGAAATATTTTTTGTGCTTTATACAGATAGATAAAAAAGATCCAAGGCTAAATATATTGATATTTCGATAATACTGAAGCCATTCTCAAGGCGTGTGTCCAACGTGACGCTCACTCTCATACTGAACGGCACGCATGTGTGTAGAGACAGTTCTGATATCGCCCCGATCGCTGTGCACCCTACATTGCGCCTACGGCAGGCAAGTGAGTAGGTGCCTAAAGTCGCTGTGGCAGAAACACTGCTCCTAGTATGCGATCCTTAAATAAACCTGACCACACGTTAACCGACCATCGGTTTTGGTGCCCGGTTTATCGAACAAATCAAATCAAATGTCGAGTTGTCGAGAGTTAACCTCAGAATAGTGTGTTTCTTCGGTTTCGCAGGCCATTTCTGGTAAATGTCGACTCGTCAGTCCAGATGACGTGCTGAATGAAACCGGGCACACGATGTTGCTGGTCTAATAACACTTACACTTATAAACACCATTTTATTGTTATCATTGACTGTACAAGAAAATAGAAATGAAATAGTACTGAAAAATTTAATAGTTAAAGTCGATTGCAATTATGATCGCTAGTTAATTATTCTATCAGAATTAATCTAAAACTAATTATTTTACTTTATTTTAATTGACTATGATTTTTTTTTAATCCGTCCAATATTTTGAATTTAAGAAGTACGTCAAAACTTTTTTAAATTACTTGCAAATTTTATTTTGATTGCCGCCTCTAATTATTATGTCGTATGTAGGTAAATTTCGATGCAACATGTATAAATTGCACAGCTTGAAGCGACACGAGTCGGCCGGACGGTGGCAGTGCGTGATTGAATGGAAAGGGTAGAGTGAGCCGTGAAGAGAGCACGAGTATCGTAAATGTATAGTAATGCCTAATGCGGAATTTCGTATCGAACTAATAATTAAATAAAAATCGTCGTATCCTATTGTCTGAGTTTTGGCGGAAAATTGATCGACGACGCATTGTTTCTCCTGTTTTATCGTTTAAATATTGTGTTGAAGTGGATTTTGATACGTAAAGGTGATGTTTTTTTGTGTATTAAGGTCTATGCATGTAAACTATTAGAGAAAACGACGAAACAAGTGCTTTGATGGTGATGTAAACCTAAAGTTACTTTGATCGCTTAAGCGGCTTATGAACTAGAGTGACTGTCGTTGTCAACTGTTCGCTGAGTTGACTTGTCGTCAAAATTTCCTAAAAATTTTTGAATGTGACGCATCAGCATATTGTAAAGAAAAGAATTATAAAAACGAAGACTCCAAATAAAATGAAGACACGGCTTAAAGAACTGGCGTCCAAGTCGAATATCTTATTTAAAAAAATATAGTTCTCTGGTTCTCTGGTATAAATATAGAGTATGTTCCGAAATACAACGCAGTGTACTGTCCAATGCAAATGACGTCATGAATCGACGCTATACTTGTGATTCGTTCCAAAACATTGACAGTATATGACGTCATACTTTTGCGCCATTTGGAAAAGTGTTGGCGATTATTTTGTCATTTTCGTGCTCCAAAAATCATTATATCCTCCTAATGGATATACCATCAATTATTCTATAATTTAGTTTATATTTGAATAAATAGAAACAAATTCTGGCATGCTTTATTCGGCAAACACACAATTAAAAATTGTTTTATTATGGCCGGATATCCGACACAAGTATGGCGGCGGCACGCTAGTACAATAAAGTGTCAAACTGTCAAATGATGACGTCATTTGCATTGGACAGTACCATAGAGGAAAGTAATATATCGTACAGACAGTACACTGCGTTGTATTTCGAAACATACCCATTAATTATCTGATTAATTTATAGGTTATTCTGATCAGTCGTTTCACCAACAAATTTAGCCAAAGGTTTGTATAAAATATTTGAAAATGAAAATAACGAGGTATAAAAAAGTACAAAAATATCTTAAATTCTACTATAATAATTACGGCTTCCATCAACCATACCAAGTATTACTCGACGGGACATTCTGCTTTGCAGCTTTCAAAGTAAGTTCTCGTTTTAATTGATCTCAATAAAACAGAAGACCTAGTTTTGCTTACTGCCGCTTTAAGAACAAGTTTAAGTAAATTATTGCATAGGATCCGCTAGGATAAAAGTATTCTGTATGTCTCTTCGGTTGTAGAGGCAAAAAAATGAATTTTATAAGTTATTAGTGTTTACGGACCTGTGCCCCAAAAAGTTCTCAGGTTATCCCAATATTTACTGTAAATTGCGATCCATTTGAAAAAGGTAGCAACAAAAAAATGAATACCACTTACCACCTTAATACCAGTAATACCAGTTGGCAGAAAAGTTTTGTATAAAAGAAAATAAAGAAGTAACTTAATGAAATACTGAAAGTTTTGAAAATAGCTGACAAAACTATTTTACGTGTGTTTCATTTAGCTGCTGTTCTGCCCTTTCTTGTAGATGATAATGAGTTTCACTTATTACTTGACCATAGTGCCAATTTTATTTTGCCAATAAATTAAAAGTTTGTTTTTGTTATGTTGAAGCGTTGAACTGTTTGTACAGTATGGCTACAAGTAATTAGCTATACAAGTACAGAACTAGAGTATGAAACCTTTCCAACTGCAGAGAGGTGTAAAACAGGGTGATGATATATCTCAAAAATTTACTACTGCACTGGAATTGGTTTTCAAGCTTCTGGACTGGAAAGGATATAGTATAAAAATTAATGGAAAGTAAACATTACTCACCTTTGATTTCTCGAATCAATAGAATCAGTGGAGAACCCCAGCTCTATGCTCAGACTCTAAAAGTGTAAGCAATGTAAACCAACCGATCGGTAAGTTGAAATAGCAAGAGGATGGCCTTATAGCCCTAAGAACCGACTACCAATGGGAAGAAAAGTTTTCGAGTACCAGCCTCCTACCAATAAACAAAGACTATGTTTAGGCATTAACCTGTGAGGCTTTAATGATGTTGATGATAAAGCTTGTTCCAATAACTTATTGTCTAATAGAACTGGAAACATGCTGCAGTTGTGATACCATATCAGATAAGACCCATTCTTCACAAAACCCTCTATGTGATACATCTCATATTCGATTCACTTTTAGTGATCAGTAGTGTCAACATTCACTGATTCACAATACTACAGTACGAGACAGTTTTTTCTTAGAGCCTCGCTGCAGCTACATTATTATTGTAGCATGAAAGGGTTGGCTCGACCGGGAAGGATCACACTCACAGAATATCAGCATAAAATAGCAGCTTGATGCTGCTGTGTTTTCTATGGTGAGTGTAGATAACCAGAGCCCTGTTTTACTGGAATCGAGGCATTTCATATTAGTCCTCAGGGGTGACAATGAATCTTCATTTTGATTCTTAATTGAGGTTAAATGTGTATGGGCCACAGCATCCATTTACCATCAGGTGGACTGTGTGCTCGTTTTTCACCCGAATTCTATAAAAAATACTACACACTGCTGCTCTACAGTCTACATGGTCTTGACTTGTCTGAATGTAAATATGTTTGATAGAGTAATCAATCCAATGGGTTGGTCCCCATTCTGTTTTTATACTATTTAAAAGAATCAGAATTAAGATTGATGAAGAGAAGAATTAAGATTCTCAATACTTCTATTCATTCTTACCGAACATAGAATAACATAGCATCCATCTGTGAAATTACTATTATGTAAATAAAAGCGCTCACAGTTAAGTAAATCCTGTAATTTACTAAGCCTAAACAGATTTCTTTTTAACAAATTTCTTAGGTTTTACACAACAAATAATATTGATTGCAGTGATAGTGTTGTAACAAATAAATAGCTACTTGAACATAATAAGATAAAACAAATAAGAAAAATATCACAATAAAACAGATACCCTCTAGTGCTAAATTCTGAACAATCACAATAGATGACATGACTGAACTGTACAACGGCTCGTTAGCACAGTGCCTAATTATTTAGCATCAGCACTGCTAGCCGAGGGTTCGCTTCTCACACGGAAAGTATTTGTATAATATCTCCACAATACAGGAGAAAGCCCTAGTGTTAGGTAACATTAAATAAAACTACAGTAATCTGTTAATGCTTTGAGAGATTTGCATAACATGAGAATTAAAGAAAAAGATTCGAGGATCAGAGGAACTTGTATAATTAACATAATATTATACAGAATGTTATGCCAATATACTAACACGATATGATATAGGTATGGGACTCGTTTTTGAACAATATGTCTAGCTCTAGTGGTATAATATGGTTGAAATAGGCTAGATACGTTTATAGGATTATCTGAGGCCCGAAGAGAAGGGCAGGACATAGCAATTTTTGAATCTGGCAACTTGTTCTGTCACTGGAAGAACACCCATCTGTCCCAAGGAGGTGTTGAATTTATCACCCACAACTTTCTCATTAACAATTGTAAATATTGGGAGTGTGGTACATACAAATGTGGTATATACAAATACATACAATGGTATTCACTGAAGGTCATACAGATTTACGTACCAACCTCGGCACATGCCGATGAGGAGGTGGAGGAAATGTAAGAGGATATCTCTAGAGCCATCCATTCTTCCAAAATCTACTCACTATACGGTGACTTCAACGCAATGAAAAGTAGGGAAATTCGGAATAAGGCAACGAAACCCAAACGGCCAGTAGATGGACTACTTTATGATAGAAAGTCTCTTTATGATGAACTCTTTCAAAAGCGGCCCACAGAAAGTGGACCTGGTCAAGTCCCGATGGTTTAACAAAAATGAGAGTAACTTCATTATGACGACCAGACGACAAATGTTCAGTGATGTCTCAGTGATTGTAAGGGTGAAAACTGGCCGCGATCAACGAACGGTGAGAAGCACACTGAACCTAAATGGGAAGTTGGAGAGAACACATCTAATGAAGTCAACGCTTCATCCCCTCTTGCTCTAATCCAGAGCCCCGAAAACTTAGATCGACTTACAAAATCGTTGTGATACAATGAAGTGGACGATATGAATAACATGCTTGTGGAAACTGTCCATGCGATCGGAGCTAAGTTCTGTATTGGAATCCTCGGCGTCGATATATCGAGTGACGTGCAGTTTCGTTGTCACTTGGAAGACAAGGCCAAATTGGTATCTAGAAAGCTTGGCGTGCTCAGCAGAGCGGGACAGTATTTCACCTCCTACAACTTTACAAGGTGCAGGTTCGGCCGCACGTGGAATACTGTTCCTATCTCTGGGCCGGGGCTCCCAGTGTCTATTTGATGGCATCCAGCGCAGAGCTGTTCGAATCGTCGGCGACCGAGCTCTTCCCGATCGGCTTGACTTACTGGCACTGCGAAGAGATTTTGCATCTCTTTGCGTATTTTATCGCATCTAGCACGGGGGAGTGCTCTGAGGAATTGTTTGGACTAATTCCAGCCGCACAATTTCACCATCGCACATCGCGACAAAACTCGCGATACCATCCATACCATCTGGATGACTGGCGGTCCACCACCGTCCGATTTAAAAGAAGTTTTCTTCCTCGCACAACTTCCTTGTGGAATCGACTACCATCAGAGATTTTTCCGGACCGATACGACTTAGGGACCTTCAATAAAAGAGCCTACTCCTTTTTAAAAGGCCGGCAACGCATCTGCAATTCCCCTGGTGTTGCAGTTGCTCATGGGCAGCGGTAATCACTTACCACCTCACTCATCAGGTGAGCCGTATGTTTGTTTGCAAATCGCCCTATAAAAAAAAGACCCGTCGCAGAAAAACACAAAATCTCTCCGATCACACTCTTAATCTCGTGACTGTTAGACGGGAGATGAAGCTGCAGTCTTCAGCAGATATGACAGCATACAGGCAACTGACCAGATAGATCTCCAAATGCATGCGGTGGGACTTACATAACTTCAAATAGCTCATATCGATGAAGCAATCGAGCGGAACTAAGGCTCCAAAGTCTTTGCCAGAAATCTGTCTGCCGGAAAGAGCCAACTGTCAACTGTCCAGCTCCTTAAAAACGGTAACGGTACCCGGGCTAGCTTCTGAAAGCGAGTAGAAAACCGATTATTGAAAGTCCTACAGAAGCTCTTAAATTCCGTCCACTATGCTCAATGACCTTAATAGTGTCTCCCAACGGATAGGTCTTAAGATGAACATGGACAAAACAAAGGTCATGTGTAATGTCCATGTCACACCTATACCGGTAGTTGTTGAGATCACTAAGCTCCGAGTATATTTACCTGAGGCAAATAGTCCAACTAGGTAAGTTCAACTTCAACCGAAATGTCAATCGACGGATTCAAATCGGCTGGGCAACGTTCGGGAGTTTACGAAACATCTTCTCGTCAGGTATACCTCAAAACTTGGAAACGAGATTGTACAACCAGGTGTTTGTTACCAGTGATGACTTATGAATCTGAATCTGAGAAAATCTGCGAAGGTTAGCGAGCCATAGAGAGAGCTACGCTTTACGCTTACGGGGTTTCTCTGCGCAATAAACTTAGAAATGAGAATATCCGCAGTAGAACCAGAGTGACTGACATAGCCCAACGAATTACTAAGCTGAAGTGGAATGGGCCGGCCATATAGCTCAAAGAACCGACAACCGATAGGGAAAAAATGTTTTCGAGTGGCATCCTCCTACCGGTAGGTAAAGTGTAAGGTGACCCCCCACTAGATGTAGTAATGACCTAGTAAGGCATGCAGGAAGTCGATGAATTCAGGTGGCTCAGGTCCTTGCTGTGTGGCATTACTTGGGGGAGGCCTATGTTCAGTAGTGGACATGTGAAGGGCTGTAATGATGACTAATTGTCGTATGTTAAAGTGTCATTCTGAAGAATTATAATGGATGGAGAAATTTCTCGATTAACTACTAAACAAATCTTGTGAAATAAACAGTAATGAAATAGAATGCACATCTATTGTCTATTTACTAAGACGTGATCAGCGTCAGCTTATATCCCGGTTGTTTCTACTTTTACTAGAATTTTGCTGAATTTGTTCGTAATGTGTGAAATATGTGCACAGAATGGATAGTAAATACCGTCGCAATGGTCGTCTAATAGACATCGTTGACGAGGAATGGCGGGCGGAGCGACTCCCTCATGAGGACATCCAAGTCCCTCTGGAGGAGCTACCTGATCCGGAGGCTGATAGTGCTGATTCTCATCTTACGCTCAGGGAACAGAGCATGCGCTGGCAAGAGAACTTTCCAGAGCCCGCAAGCAGTAATCAAAACTAGGTATTCTAATAACTTATATAGCGTCTTTGCAAACAAATAAATAAGCAAAATGGCGGATTGTGTCAGCGCTACTAAAGTTAGCAAACGTTTCCTGGCCGAAAACTATAGTTTCGCCATTTTGCTTACAAGCGCTTTCTAGCGCTTTTTTCTGCCAAACGCAGCCATGGTGTATGTATTTTATTTTGTCATTTTTTTACGATTTGGCGGCAAATTGATAATTGTCTGTGTCACGTCAGTATGAATTTAACGCGAGAAAATTTTCGTACATGATTTAAATAAGTCTGATTTACCTAATCAACATGTATAAATTAATGTAATTGGCAGAAAATGAAATAAAACGGGCTTAAAATAAGGTTAAATCTTTTATTGAGAAAATTTTCGTACAATGAATTTTATGACTCGATGTCATTTAAGTCAACAATAAGTTATGATAGGCTTCGATTGGCTCTCGTGCCACTGTTTACAACTGGTTTAATGAGTTTAAACGTGGTCGCACTATCTCACCGATGATCTGCGTGAGGGACGGCCTTCTGAGAGGACGGCGACGACTGAAGATAACATCAGTGTTGTGCGACGTATGATAGAGACTGACAAAAGAGCAGATTGGGACAAGCTTAGGCATCGGTCTGAGTCAAGTGCACAAAATCCTTCATGAACATTTAGCGGTCAGGATGCTGTGTGCCCGGTGTATACCTCATAATTTGACAGGCCCAAAAACTTCGTCGTGTTGATTGGTGTTAGACATACTTACGGGTGACGAAAGCTGGATTTATTGTTATAATCCTGAAACTAAGAGACAGTCTGCTGTCTGTTTCCTTCCGAGAAGTTGCCAACTAAAGCGAAGAGAAGTTGAAGAGTGGGAAAGAAGACGGTGGCCTCGTTCTTCGGAAGGACAGGTCATTACGCAACAATTGTTTTAGAGGATCGAAAAACAGTTACTGCAGAGTGGTTCACTAACAATTGTTTGCTACTTGTCTTGGAAAAAGTTCGGGAGAAGCGACCTCGCAGTAGGATCCTCCTTCACTACGACAACGCCTCGTCGCAAACCGCCAAGCAAACAATCACCTACTTGGCGATGTCAAACGCGGAATTACTGGATCACCCGCCCTATAGCCCCGACCTCGCACTTGCATTTTAATTTATTTCCGAAAATAAAAGAGAAACTTCGAGGAAAACTTTTTATGGACGCTGAGGAAGCAAGCGGTGGCTGCGTTTCAAAATGAAGTCGAAGAGACCCCTAAGAACGTGTAGGCAAAGTGCTTTTCCAGTCGTTCCATCGGATGCAGCGATGTATCGATGTAAATTGACACTATTTTGAAAAGATATAATAAAACTAATAACTCGCTAGTGTGTTCAGTTTTTGATTTTCTAAAAGGGATGGAAAATATCATGGTTTTTAATTTTAATGATATCATGCTGATTTAAAGAAAAATTATGATGTTTTTTTAATTTTTTTTTTTGATGTTTTTGTATATTTTGAAATTCACGAGTTGGTACCACTTTTTGACATAGTAGGATTAAAATTTTGCACCTGGCAACGCAAAAAAAAACCAACGTCAAACTTTGCATACTTTTTTTTACATACCATTGAATTTTTTTTTATAGGATAGGGTGACAATCGAGCAGTCCACCTGGATGGTAAGTGGTTGCTACGGCCCATAGACATCTATATCAATCCTCAATTACAAATCAAAATGCAGGTGCGTTGCGTGCCTCGTTTCCAGTTAATAGGGTCTCCGGTTCTCTACACTCACCATACGAAATACAGCAGCATTAAGGTGAATCCCTGACCAAAATGTTGCGAAAGTGCGTTTTTCAGACTATTATCTCATTAGTTAAAATAAACTACATCTAAAAGTACATTATTAATGTTCGATAGCTTATCATCGCATTACACGTTCTAATTTATTTTTATGTCCTATAAATACATTTAAAATCAACTTTTAAAAAATGACTAAAATTCTTGATTACATGCATCTGTTGCTAAACGCAACGCTCTAATCATTTGAGGATAACACTAATGGATAGATAATTAAAAAATCTATATTCTCCACGTTTTATTTAAATTTTTAAGTTCGTTTTTTCTCTTTTAATTGAAATAATTCCGAAAATTGTGTGACTTCTATGATAAAGGGGCGTGCGCAGAGTGCGGGCGGCATTACGCTGTATGCGTTCGTACGAGGTGGCCGCGTCGCTGGTCGCCGCGTCCGTATTTCGCCGCAAACATAATATTATTTGAGTACCTACCAACCGATGCGCTTACGTCACGGTATATTGTAACTCGGCCGTATCTTAGAAATAAATCTTACAGCCGTGCGGTACGTAAACATGCGATAGGGATGCCTGCCTCTAGCATTTTTACATTTGCCTTTATGTGTTTTATAACTCAATGCATTTTCCTACTTTGTGTTTCCATTTAGTTTTATGATTGTACTTAAATATACTTTTTTATATAAACAAATATATAATAGGTACTTTGTGAATTGAATAGGAAGTGTTCAATAAAAATGCGTGTCGTTTTATGATTGGTAGATTTAATTAAAAAACCATGTTTATGTTTGAATAACAAATCGGTCTTATAAATTTGCGGCCGAAAAATATTTGCGCCTCGGCTGAGACGTACGAAATGCTTTATTATTAAAATTTTAAATATAAAAAATTCGCATTATAATATAAAGCTTAATTAAAAATTGTTTTGGGAAACATGGACAAGTTGGAGTAAAGGAATATCTTTTACTTGGTTATAGATACCTGCAGCTACTTTACAATTTATATGTTTGGTTTTAAATGAAGTTTGGATTTATTATTTTTTTATTTCTATTCTATTTTCTGAAAGGGTCCTAGGAAAGGAATTATCACTGCGTGTTGGCGAACTTTGCATGTCTTCGAAATATTTTTTTTCTTATTTCTCAGACATGCAGGTTTCCTCACAATGTTTTCCTTCACCACTGAGCACGTGGTAAATCAACACTTAAAATTGCAATTACAATATTATTGGTGCCGGCGGGGATCGAACCCGGTTTGCTCGCACACTGTGAAAATTTTAGCAAGCGCTAACCATCTGAGCTACCTACCACGGCTCCTCTCCTCTCGAGCTAGAGACTTTATTTTATTTATCGTCAGGCCTGTTCGTCTAGTGGTTAATGACCCTGACTGCTATGCCGCAGGTCGTGGGTTCGATTCCCACCCAGGACAAATGTTTGTGTGATGAGCACGATCATTTGTTCTGTGTCTGGGTGTAATTTATCTATAATATTTATGTATTTAGAAATATATAAGTATGTTTACAGTTGTCTAGTACCCATAACACAAGCTCTGCTTAGCTTGGGACTAGATGGCGTTGTGTGATAGTTGTGGAATATTATATATTATTATTGTTATTATATTATTATTGTTGGGGTATCTGTATAGTTTTCTCATCTGGTTGGTTTTTATAAATATAAATTAAAATGAAAAGATAAATATACATAAATATCAATAAAATAAAATAAATACAAAAAATATACAAATAAATAAAGATCCAACCATATTAAATAAAAAATAGTCTCCTATCTTTCTCTCTATGTTTTGATCTTCTAAAACGAGTTTGAGTTGGTAAAATCAAGGCAAACTTAGGGTAGGGTTGTCAATTATTATTTTGATAATAAAACTAGTGAAATTCCGCGGTTTTATATGCGCAAGCGTGAACGTAGTTAGAACATAATATAACCTTTATGTTTTACATAAATATCCTAAAAAACTTATTATTTTAATATTTTACTAAGCACCTATAAAATTAACAAGTTTATTGCTTTTTTATTTGAGTAATTTTTTATGCAATTTCTTTATCTACGTCTATTTTTAGGAACCTTTATTTAGTATGAATCATACATAACACTATATTACTGATTTACTTACTTATACGTAGTTTTCTTTTTAGCAGTTACAAATATCTTGTGAAGTTGAAAAAGGCAGTAATGAAAAAATAATAAGAATAATAATAATTGACGTCAGCCACTTCTTTTCGTAAAAATTTCAGATCATGGTCCATTAGGTTGCAGCTTCACCGAACCACAACTTATAATAATAATAATAACAGTAATAATATAATATTATTTTGTATTTATTTTATTTTATTGATATTTATGTATATTTATCTTTTCATTTTAATTTATAATTTTTATATATTTAAATATTTATATAACCGAACCAGATAAGAAAATTATACGGCTCCAACGATTTTAGCGACGAACGCTTGGATTTATTTTTAGAAAATATCCTTTTGTCCATGTTTTCAGGCAATAAAAAAACTGCTACAATGTAACAAGGTAAATTTCGACAAATCACTAACGGTCGTTATAGCTCAGGTGGTATGTCGGTCGGGCGTGATATCGGAGTTCCGTGGTTCGCGTCTTGGCTTTGGTCCCGCTTTTTTTTTCCTTTTTTTTCAAGTTCCCTTCTTTTGTGAGAAAATCTATTATTTCAAACCCTTTTTTTTAGTAATTTTTAAAAATACGAAAATTTTAATTTTAAAAATTTAAAAAAAAATATCTATTTAGTTACTAATGCTATATATATTATTTTAATAATTACCTACCCAGTAGGTAAATATTAAAATAATAAATGTAGCATTATTAACAGTAAATCTCCCTCAAACTCAATTTACTAATATTGTTCCTAAATAAGGAATAGCAGATAAAAGATTAGTAGGTAATAACTATTGCTCCTCAAAATTATATTTGACCTCAAGGTAAAACATATCCTAAAATTCAGTAGCTAAATAAAATAATAATACCTACTATTCAAGTATATTTTCAATATGTAAGTAAATGAAAATAACAAAAATGAAGCACCATTAGCATGTAAAGTTCGAATCCATAATTAATATTTCGACAAATATTATAATTTACACTATAAAAAGCTAATTCAATATTAGCAGTATAGTATATAGTTAAAAATAATCAAAATAGTCATTTTTATTAATTAGATAATATATTAGAATACATAATTCTAATATAATGCAACTAATATACCGAATAAAGAAAATTAAAATACATTTATCATTGTACGCCGTGTCTATTTCCATAGAATAGTTCATTGACATTGAAAAAATAATACTACGTTCGTAGCAGTAGGTGGCGTCTTTTGGCGATTTCTTACGCGATATATTGTAGCGAGCTTCGACAGACCAAACGCTCAAGGTCGTTCGCTGGAGGTAGCGCCTTAAGCTACTATTTCACGCTAGTATTTTGTGAGAGCGTAGTCCTTCCCCGGTCGAGCCGACCCATTTGTGCTACAACTATACTACTAATATAACTGCAGAATGGCTCTACCACGTACAATTGTTGACATTGTTGTTAAACTACTTACAAATTTTGATGATATTAACGCTGAAATAAAAAAGGACCCAGTTTGTATAAACTTCATCGAAGTGTCAAACAAAAATAGAGGAAAATCTGGATGTGGACATCAAAATTCTTTGGTTGATTTTACTACGTAGGACCTACTATTACACAAGTCAACAAAAAAAACTTTTTTATGTCTGTTATTTAATTATTATTATCTAATTTTTAACATTGAAAAATAACTAAAAACTCAATTAATAAAATAAAAAGTTTGCTTTTGTGCTTTAAGTATACGATGAAAAATAAAATATACTATTTTGCCAAATGCTTATAAGAGGGTACCATTCTTAATAAGCAAGAGAGAAGGGTTCAGGGGGATATCGGGTGTGGAACGGGTAGCTGCAAAGCAGTCACAAGGTGTACGCACGCAATGTTTAGAGAAACAACGTGTTTTGTTTGTCTGAGCGTTAAAATGTCTTCCAAAATGTGTAGAAATGGCGTGGATTCTTTTTGCTACATTTGCGGGGAATTTATTAAATTAAGAGCTAAAAAATTTAGTTTATGTTAATAAAAGACTGTGAAGCATACGAAGCTTATTTTAAACTTCGTATTAGAAGTAAGGATGAAATATGGGCACCACATTTCTCATGTAATAACTGCAACAACAAAAGCGTTTAAGAAGGTAAGACGAGTACAATGTTGTTTATTCTAAGATACATACAGAACATAATATGATGAATATGATGAAGAGCAATTTGTCAAGGTTCTACGTCAAGATTCCAAAATGTTTAAAGTTTTTCTCTAAATTGTCAGAAGCTGAAATTAAAGCTGGTATTTTTGTCGAACCACAAATAAAAAAATAATGGCGTGTGAAAAATTTACTGCACGTTTACTGAACACTTATGAGAAAGTGTAAGTATATGGATTCCTTGGTAAAAAAAAAATATTTACAAAAAAATTATTTCTGATATCGTAGATACCTCTAAAATCATGGGTTGCAAAATGGCCCTGAAACTGCATACATTACATGCTAACTTCCATAATTCAAATACAACTTTGGAGCATTTTCAGAGGAGCAAGGGAAGCGCTTTCATCAAGATGTGATGGATTTCTAGCAACGATATCAAGGACAATACAATGAAAACATGATGGGAGATTACATTTGGGGGTTGATTCGAAAGTTCATCTGCACACAAAATAAATATTAAGAAAATCCATTTTTAAAAGTTAATTACCATTTTTTTTAACTGTCTTAAGTAAATAAAAGTGGTGTAAATAAATAAATCAATGATTGTTTTCTTTTTATATGTAACTGAAAGACAAAATAAGCTAGCAATTTTCTTCAAAATTTGAAATTTCATTTTGTTAGCTACAAAAGCAAACTTTATGAGATAAAAGTATTATTTCTTTTATTAATTAGGTATAAGAAATCAAAATCGGGTACTTACACGGAACTCAGGCACCAAACTCGTGTTAACTTGTGTTATTTATTCTGTGATTTTACTAAGTTTATGAGACTATTGTGGTAGAATAATAACCGTGAGTTTGCACTTTAAAAAAAATTATAGACAGAGAATTTTACCTTATTTTTTAATAAAAATATTTTACCTTATTTTAAGCCGGTTTTATTTCATTATCAGCCAATTACATTAATTTATACATGTTGATTTAAATCAGCCAACCCTGTTTTCTAAGAACTTTCAGTGTCACCCTCGTAGCACAGGCGCCTTTTAAGAATGTAATACAGTAGAGAAGAACCCCAATGTGCTGCCAGTGTAAGCGCGTTTTGGTGGACATCCTTAAAGTTTATTTAATTTCTCAGACATTTTCCTCCCACTTTAAACGTGGGATGTACTGAAGATGTCAATATCAGCTGTGTTGCACCGGTTGCTGGTCTGGATATTTCTTTAGCCTTTCGGAAGCCATAACATATATCGAGCGTTTCCTATAATCGAGTCTTACGACACCCAGGGTCACGAAATGTTCTGATGCATTCTTATATGCCATCACCACAAGGCACCATCTTATATTACTCATAACCATCAATAATAGTTTTTGTCTTTTATTTCTTAATTAAAATTAGAGTCCTATCTGTGCTACGCTATGCACAGGTTCTCTCTCACACACACACAGGATTAGGAAAATCCACGGACAGAGGTTTTATTCCAAACCGGTGGTGAACCATACATAAACGTGACTTTCAATAATTATTATACATAATCTACATATATTGAATAAAAACGTTTCTGTTTCTGTTACACGTGCTATGAAATTGAGCTAATATTGACTTTAAGAAAAATGAACATTTTTCTTAATTATTCTAGATTTCTTAATTGTATTACAGGAACACATCAATGTAAGAGACCAACTACCAAAATATCTAAATGGACAAGTTAAATTATTAACAACAAGATGTATTATAATAGAAACTGAAAAAATAGCTAAAAAAACTCACGGTGCTCTTACTATATTAAAGCAATTTGGTATCCATGAATGTGGTCATAAGGAGCCAGTGACAGGATCACAGTGTATTAAGTCTATGGTTGGCAATAAAAATGAAAAACACTACATCCTTGCAACACAGGATAGGGATTTACAGGAGAAAATGAGAATTAAAGCTGGAGTTCCACTACTTTATTTACATAACAAATCACCAACACTTGAAAAACCCTCGAAAGCAAGCTACAACAAAGCAGGCCAGGCACTAGAATCCAATTTCACATTCATTAGTGAAACTCAAAATGAAGCCTTGAAAAATATGAAAAAGGCTCTAGGCATAGAAGAGAAAGTAGAAGAACCGAAGTTAGTCTTGAAGAAGAAAAAACCGCACAATCCAAATCCTTTGTCCTGTAAAAAAAAGAAAAACAAACCGGGAAACAAAAACAATAATACAAAATCAGAACACAGTGTAAAAGAAGGGAAAGTTAGAAAGAGGAAAAAAGTTCGCAAACCTAAAATAGAATTAAGTCAAGCTACAGCTACAATACAATAAAGTTATATTTCAGTGGTGTTTTTTTTTTTTGTAAATCAAACTTGTTCACCATCATATTGTACTCGTATATTCTATGCGAGCGAACCGCCCTGCCTTTGCATGTTTAGGATCTATTAATGTGGCGTTATTTAGATAATCTAAGATCATTCATTTTACCATTTTTTTATTTCTTCCAAAAAAATCTCCAAGAATTTCTGATAAAATTATTCTATCTGTTTGTGAAATTTCATTACAATCGGTTCAGACATTCTTCTTTCAATTTTAAAAATGGTTATTCATGTCTTAATGGCGTGTACAATAACCCCTTCAGCTTAATATAGGGCAGTTTTTTCGATTAGTAATTAATTACATAACTTATAACTTATTAATTTCCGAATTGGGATTTATTCTAATGGGTCCTTTTTTTCAGTCCAAATTTTGTTATCATTGGTAACGATACAGAAATCGAGGTTTCAGACATTCGGTGCAAAACATTAAAACCACATAACGTCTTCTTACTTGCTCATGTTGATTTAAAAGGCCACGTGAATTTTAGCCGGCACACTCCAAAGCTCAGAATATGTATTAATGATATGTTACACATGTACAACGTGTGAAAATGGGTCAGAATATCGTAGCTTTCGTCTGGTGCAAAAACTTCACATCCGTCCGGAGAATCCTAAAAACAAAAATATTGTTCAACACTTAGTAGCCTAGCGAGGGTTGCTGTTGATTGCTGTCTCTCGGAGTAGTTACAGACAAAAATGACTCCCTTCACCCTCTCACATTGTATTTACTCGACTACCAAAGAACGAGGGTAATGTTTTTCGAGAGTATATTTGTTTGTATCTATGTTATATCTATTTGTTTGGCACGCTCTGTCGCCTAACCGGCTTGATGGCCTTAAACATATGCGGTGTCGTTGGATGCGATTTAATTGTGGAAGTTATATAGGGTATATAACTTTTCTCTTTTCAGTAAAGTTTTTTACACAGTCAAGGCTTTTTTAACTTCTGTTTTAACCTTTTGCAAGTATCTTAAAATATGACGTATTATATGTAATGAACATTATTTAAAAACGATTAAATCAATATAATGTTTTTATATACTAACACTAACGCCCGCCGCACAACATGTTAACGCATTGGACGTCACGTACCACGTGCGGATGCTAGAGTTTAAAACCAAAGCCTATGGCGCAATAGCGTTGTCCGCATTTTCTCTCAAGTATCGACGCAAGCACGTGCATGATAGCGGCACGGGTCGTGAGCACAGCCTTCACTAGACACTAGTCGATTTTCAGGGTTCTGGTGAAGCAGTAATAGCTATGCACTCGTATATAATAGTTAAAAAAGTGCTGAGCTACGGTGATCATTCATTCTCGTGGTTGGCCTGTTACTTAATTCTTCATCATCTATTGGATTATTGTATTGTATTGGCTTGGAAAATAGGTACATGCGCCTAATCTGTGGTAACTACAGTCACTTAAGGGGAAATATAATGTCAAATGGCTTAGCAAGATCCTTCGTTATGCCTAAAATATTGCAGCATTAATTTTGAAATAAATATATGGTAAAGTTGAGGATTAATGTTAATGATTATGTTAGACGAAAACACGATTTCGTAAAATTTTCTCGATAGAAAAAAAATCCAAAGTTACCTCCAAAATAAACAATAAACCGCTGTTATTCATAAAATACTTTAAATAAGATCATGAAACTTTGCATACTAACTGAACTAACTATAAAGCAGTGCTTATGTTATTTACTTTTTTTAAAATACCATTATTTTCACTGTAAAAAGAAATTACCTAAACTATCGGCGTCTTGAGCTTGATTCCTGTCGCACCGTTAGTATCGCTTAGGCTTTTGAAGGGAGAAGTTGTGTCGCTTACGATCAGAATACACATTACGCAACAGTACGACGTAAAATTAAAATGGGAAATAACCGTGATAAAAATAAGAAGCGGCTGGCTTGGCGTTAAGAAACAGGCATAAATATGATAAACCTAATGAAATAAGTGTCTAACGACCTTTCTACTTACAGTATTAGTGATTACAAACATATCGGTACATAGCATACGACACGCGGGGAAGTGGGGGCGAAATTAGAATTTGAGCTGACTTACTCTATCCTCTTAACTTTATGCTTACGATTCGCGCCGCTAGCCATGTACAAGCGCGCGTCGTGCGTGGGAATATAAGCAAGTGACTATTTGCACAAATGGCACCGGCACAGAAATCCAAATATTATTTTGATTTCTGTGGGCACTGGCATTAGCGCGAGTGTCTGATGTCTCTAAAATGGAGGAAGAATTGAAGCTGTTTAGAGTGATAAATATTTAAGTAAGTATTCGATGTAAAACACCCAGATAAGTTAAATGGAAATTAAATTAAAAGATTCTAAATTTTGATTTAATATTTCTTTCATTCGTCTTTGTAAACGAAACTAATTTTTCCTTTGGACACGTATGAGCTCTTCTATTTTCAGACAGATAGACAGATACTTTCTTTATTACTTACGTAACGATATGTAAGAGCTCTTCCACTTTCTTACCATATAAGAGTATATGCCTAACAATAATGTACAATCTAAAAATTATGGAAAGTAGATTGGGTAAGGAGGACTATATCTGGGTATGAAAAAATGTCCGCCGAAATGCGGTAAATTAGGGTGTCGCCACGATAGCAGCAGGGTAAATTTTAAAAACATTTTCATATTGAAAAAAATCATCATCATTACAGCCCTCCACAAGTCCACCGCTGACCATAGGCCTCCCACCAAGGAATGCCACCTGTATCCATCGACTTCCTGCATGTCTTACCAGGTCGTCACTCCATCTAGTGGGGGGTTGCCCTACTAGATGGAGTGACGACCCCCCAGTTTTTTCCCCATCAGTTGTCGGTTCTTCGAGCTATATGGCCGGCCCATTGCCACTTCAACTTACTAATCCGTTAGGCCATGTCGGTCACTCTGGTTCTACTGCGAATATCCTCATTTCTAAGTTTACCACGCAGAGAAACCTCGACGCTGAGCGACCTTGAGCGTCCTCATACGGCCAGCAGTGAAGGTTCACGTCCCAGATCCGTAAGTCATCTCTGGCAACACGCACTAGTTGTACAATCTGGTTTTCAGGTTTTGAGGTAAGTATACCCGACGAGAAGATTTGTCGTAATTTCCCGAACGCTGCCCAGCCGAGTTGAATCCATCGATTGACCTCTTGGTCGAAGTTGGACTTACCTAGTCGGACTATTTGTCCCAGGTAAACGTACCCGTCAACAACTTCGAGCTTAGTGCTCCCAACAACTAGCGGCATAGATGTGATATGGACATTAAACATGATATTTGTTTTGTCCATGTTCATCTTAAGACCTATCCGTTGGGAGACACTATTGAGGTCATTGAGCATAGTACTTAGGTCCTCCAGAGATTCTGCCATAAGAACTATATCATCGGCAAATCGGAGGTGAGTGATGTACTCGCCATTGATGTTAATACCGTATCTTTTCCAGTCCAGTAGCTTGAAAACGTCTTCAAACGCTGCGGTAAAATTTCGGGGATATTACGAGTATATCACCCTGTCTTGTACGTCTGCGGCTGGATAGGTTTCGTACTCTGGTTCTGTTCTCGGATAGCCATCTTAGCCCTACTGTACAAACACTTCAGCACTTCGATATACCGAAAGTCAACTTGGCACCACTAAAGGGACTGTAGCACCGCCCAAATTTCGACGAAATCAAAGGCTTTCTCATAGTCCACATACGCCAGACAAAAAGGCATATTGTACTCTTCGGTCGTCTGTACAATCTGGTGCAGGATATCTATGTGGTCTATGGCACTGAAGTCTTTTCGGAGACCGGCTTGTACGGGAGGCTGGAAGTTATCGAATCTGTGTGCTAAACGATTCGTAATGACTCTCGAAGACACCACGTAGACGCGGCTCAGAAGGGAAATCGGTCTGTAGTTCTTCAAGAGAGCGTTGTCGCCCTTCTTGAAGAACAAGACCACCGCACTTATGCTCTACGCCTCCGGAGTAGTGCCACCATGGAGGTCAGAATTGAAGAGTTTCTGAAGGACTATGTACCGGTGTTCCCCCCGCTTTCAGAAGGTCTACTTTAATTCCATCCTCGCCTGGGGCATTGCAGTTTTTAAGGTGCTGGACAGCCATTCTAATCTCGCTCAGGCTGACGACCGGGTTATCATAGGAATAGTGTCGGATAAGTCTTGCTCTTGGATCATTACTCACACTTGCGTGTGGCTCAAACGGTAATGTGTACTGCTGCCCATAGAACATCTCAGTCCCCCGTGACTATGGGTGCTGTAAAACACCCGAAACGTTGGGAATAAAAAATAAGTTAATTAAACGGGATAAAATCAGAGTAAATAGTTTTATTCAAAGTTCCACGCTGATAATATAATAGCTCTTTTCAGAGCCGAATTTTCTGTTTCACGAGACGTCGAGTGTAGCTACAACCTTATCAAATGGAAAAAGTAACCTAAGTACTTAGTTAGTAAACACTAAAATAAAACGTCGAGATTAGTAAATTATTGAATCTATCATTTATATTCATAAATATTTAAAGTTTCGTTGTCATTTATAATTTATTAAAAGAAATATTTTACGTGGTAGAGCCACACTACAACTATAATGGTTGCAGCAGGAATAGGTGGGTTCAACCGGGGTAAGATCACGCTGTCACAGATTATCAGCGTGAAACATTAGAAAATGCTGTTTCGTAGAGTGAGTCTAGTAGTAGTCGGAGATAATAATAATAATAATTATTATGATTTATTTATAACATTCCATCTTAGTACTCAGGGGTAACAATGTATTTGCATTTTGATTCTTTATGAAGTATAGATATAGATGTCTATTTGTCATAACATCCACTTTCTCTCTCTCTCTCTCGCTTTACACACAATAAATACCAAAATTACCTCGACAGTATGACGAATCATTGTTTCCTTAAAATATTCCCACACCGCAGCAGGCGGTGACCAGTAGTATAGTTTGTAGTATAAATGGGTTTTTAAGTAGATCGTTAATAAGCAAGCTAATTTAAACGCGTTGAAGTTCCGCTGCGCTGAGTAATCTATTGTTTCCAAAAGTAAATTGATGACAAACATTTTTTCAGATAGATGGTGACTGAGGACTACGTTCTTGTCAACTAGATAATCACCTGAGACAAAATTATATCAATTAGGTATACTAGATCGGTATTTCTGTATCGATATTTGTTGGACATTAGACAAAATTAAAAAAAAAACTATACAATATATGAACTCGTAGAATCCATGACCAAATGGAAAATAAACTGACAAGCTTCGCCCCCACAAGTGCAGCTCAGTTTACCCATCCCCTTATAGGCAAGATTTGCCCTCGCAATGTCAAATGTTTCCCACATTGGACTCTGATCCCCGTCGACGGTTATGATATTTTATATCTGTTATAAACGAGATGGTTAAACCGCCTTCTATATGCCATTAGGTCTTTCTGGCAGTTCCCAAAATTGTTCGCTAGTTAGTCACATGCTAACTCTAAAACCACTGATTTATATATTTAAAACGAAAACTTTTTGAAGAAGGGAAAAGCACATACAAGAAGCAGCTCTGAAACGAGCTTTATTGTTCACAACTAAGAAACAGGATCAATTAGGATGAGGCTCTCAGAATAAAATAAAAGAAATAGAATATGTAAGGAAGCAGTAACACAGCGATCGCCGTCTTCATCTTCACTTTGTGATAAAACGCGTACGAGTTTATCTGTTATTGTACGTGTGTCCACTGACGAGGAAAGAAACAAGCGCGCCGTGCACTTCCGTATTTTGTATACCTACCGTAGAATGGGGTGAATAGTAATCGCGGGGTGAATAGAAACAAGTCTGTTTATTTGATAAAGTTGTCTCTAGGTTTCTTAAGATTGCCAAAGTAAAGGGAAAAACATTAGCATATAATAAACAGTAGATATAAACACACGTTCCCGATCTGTAGAAAAACCTAGATACAACTTAATCAAATTACCAGACTTCTTTCTAATTACCTCATTTTACCGATACCGCCACACGCACACGCAACCCGCGAGGTAATAAACTTCAAGAGCAAGACGGCAAAAACTAATTGCTTTTAGATAAAAAAATATATCTGTTGTTTAATGTATTTTCCCAAATCAAAAATTATTGTATAGATAAATAGGATAAATTGTGCAAATAAATCATTGTACTTAAAACCCTTCGTATTGATTACAACTATCTTTTCCCAAAGAGCTATATTATACTTTTTGTAAAGAACAAACCCAAATATTTTCTGAAGTCCATATTAGTTTCTGCATCTGCTATAGCGATCATTCTAACTACATCTTTTTCTGTGACAAGTTCACCAGCCATAACATGCGGCTTCTCATCTTTTTCTGGCCTTTTAAATGGTGGTGCTTCATTTTCTCTCAAAGAGTGGAAGTAAGATGGTGCTGATTTTTGAGTTTTTAATTTTTCCTCACATTCGAGTGTCTCATTAATAATGATAGGTGAAGAGTTTGCTTTGATATATGTTTTAGCGGAAGTATCAATAGTCGGTTCACTAGTCCCGGATTCAATTGCGTCCATTGTTAGAAAAACAAAATAGTGTACCTAAGAACCTAAGACGCAATAGGCAATGCATTGTGATTTGATGTGACACATGGATTACTAAAGATGTGACCATAGATTATTAATAAGTGACAAGACAGTTATCAGTTTTTTTATTGCATCTACAAAATTTATTAATATTATATATATATATATATATATATATATATATATATATATATATATATATATATATATTAAACTCATATATAATATTATGTATATATACAATATTTATTGCCATAATATTAAAATAAAAATAATAATTAAAATTATATTTACAATTAATAGATACTATTTATACACAATATAAAAAATAAACTATAATATAGAATAACTAACACTAAAAATTTAAATTGTCAAAAAGTCCAGCTCCCCGTGGTATAGTGCCAAGAACGCTGGCTGTGTTTCCTCGCTGAATAGCTATACTTAGCCTTTGAGCAAAGAAAGAACCAGCCCTCTTATCACCAGCAGCGACGACCAGCCGTGGATACAGTTCCTTTAGGAACTTCACTGCACGTAGACCCCACGGACCGATAGTCTCTACAGCAAATGGCACAAATATGTAGTCATTTCTCAAAGACTCATATTTGCGCCATTTACTAAATTCGGCTGCCTCTGATGCCGCCCCGGCTCTAAAAGAGGTACCCTTGAGACGAGAGGCCGCCAAAGTGTCAACGCAAGTAGCATCCCACACTAGGGCTTTACCTCTCTCCCAAGGGACCAAAGTCATACCGTCGAGTATCTTGCCATCGTCTCTAAATATCTCGCAAGGCTCTAAAACCGGGGATGGGATATTTATGGAGACAAGAGCCCTTCGGATGACTTCGTTTAAAGAACCGTGACGGGAAAACCTACCTGCACTTTTCTTGCATGAAAGTCCGTGGAGCCCAAACTCTTCGACGCTGCTACCACAGGGGCACTGGTGAGGTTGACAAATTGCCGCTCGGCGACGCGCAAGCTCTCCCCATCAAGCAATGTACCGAGATTACTTGATGATAGAGCGTGTAACCAGTGACTAGATTCCTTAGTCGAAACAGCTAGAATTTTCGCCGGGACAGTGCATTAGCCATGTTTGCCTTGCCTCCGTAGCAAAACACGGGTCTACTTTATTTTTTAAAATTGTGTTACATAAATCATTGACACTACGTACGGAAGCAAGGAAAGCAGGCAATGCGACGCTAGAAATGTTTCTTACTACAATACCACCAAATTTGATAGGTAAAGTGGCTTGGCTATTGTATTTAATATCAAATTTAGAATATTTTCCAAAGCTATTTTAAGACTACTATCAATATCTTTTAAAATATCCGAACATTTACAGACTGGACTTGAGCGTAATAAGTATGTAATTTTAGGTACAAGGAGACAATATTTTAAAATAGTAAGGGCAATATGGGAGTTTAAGATATATAATTTATTAACGTGATTTAAAAATTGATGAAATTTTGTTTTTAAAACAGGTTTAATACTATCGAAAAACAATGGAGCACCAAGCAGGTAAAGCGATTCCGTATTGACAGTTTTTATTCCTGGAGAAATCTGATAGGTATCTCTGTTAGAATTAGGTAAATTATTGGAAATAAATATTACACATTTATTGGAATTTGGTTCAAGACCAATATTTTTAAAATTTTGAAAAATATGAGTAGATCGCTGAGGACGTCGTCTGTTTTACGTCCTGGTGTACCGTCGTCCAGATACCATACATTCAACTTTGATTTTAAATTTGAAATAATAGGTTGAATTCCCAAACTGAAAAGAGCTGGACCTAATGGATCACCCTGTTGAACACCTGCAGCAGGCTCAATAATATGGTTTTGATAAAACAAGTTCGAATTTTGACTGTAAGATTGCCAAACGTAATGATAAATTTCGGAGGTATTGTTAGCCACTTCTTTCAGCAGGGTTATCCTATCAGTAGAGTCAAAAGCATTTTTAAGGTCAACCTTCAGAAGAACATCTGCATTAGAATTTGTTAAGAAGGTACGCACCGAGTGTACCACCGCCTCACAGCCACCTTTGGTGCCAAAGCCTAGTTGAGTAGGCTGAAATTTTGTCTTAAGGTTTGAGATTATGTGCCTGCAAGCTAATTTTGAAGTTAAGCGTCGAAATGTGGAACCAACAGCAATAGGACGAATACCGTTATCCTTTTTTTTTTTTTGAAGGCTCACAATCTTGCCCGAAAGCATAAAATTACATAATTTTGTAATGTCATTAAGAAGTACTCTACCGGCGTCACCGGCAGACACGCTTACAAGATCTTTGAGATGTTGAGGCGTAATCCCGTCAATGCCGCCGGCAGAACCATTCGAAAATGACAATATTGCGTCTAAAGTGTCTTTTTCAGAAATTTGTAAAGGTTGCATAGAAGTATTAGGAGGCAGAGGTAAATTCTGAGAAGGATTGACCGAAGGATGTTTCTGAGGAAGGCCTTCAAGAGTTTCGACATTACGAGGAGCGAGGATGTCGTCTGAGAATAGAATACGGGATGCATTTTTAAGTCGCCATCCATTACTTTCGATTCAACTATTTTTTTTATGTCAAATTTTTTACGTGGTAGAGCCATGCTGCAGTTATATTAGTAGTGAGTATAGTTGTAGCACGAATGGGTCGGCTCGACCGGGGAAGGACCACGCTCTCACAGAATACCAGCGTGAAATAGTAGCTTAATGCTGCTGTATTTCGTATGGTGAGTGTAGAGAACCGGAGACCCTTTTTACTGGAAATGAGGCATTCCATCTCAGTCCTCGCGGGTGACAACGCATCTGCATTTTGATTTGTAATGGAAGATGGATGTAGATGTCTATGGGCCGCAGCAACCACTTACCATCAGGTGGACTGTGTGCTCGTTAGTCACCCTATTCTATAAAAAAAAAAATTTAGGACACGGTCGAGATAAATGAGTATTAATCGGGTAATCTAAATTTTGAAAAGATTTCTCTTTTAGTTGAGACGTGATTGATTTATTTATTGTTTTATTAAAATGAAAGTGGGAATACGCGAACGTAAATAATGTTGGCACAACCAAGATTTAAAGTTTCGAAGTCAGAGTAATAGTTTTCATAAATTAATTCATAATCTATACAAAAACAATGTATTCCAGCATACTCTTTATAGTTCTCCCAGGCCTTACTGTTACAAAATACAATATATTCTCGATGTATTCGGCCATAAACAATATATAGTTATTTCGTGTCATCACTTCAGGCGAACGAACTTATAAATATATATTGTCATCCGCACTCCTATTATGGCACTCTTAATACCGCATTTGTTATTTTTGAGGAGAATCACGTCTGTCCTTAATGGTAGTGAAGAAGAAGGAAGGAAGGAGGAAGGAAATATATATATTATAAAAATAGTTATTATAATTAAAATATTTAGTCAAAATAAAGACAGTTGTCACCTGTCACCTTTCTTTTTATTTTTTCTTTATCGTTCTTTATCGTAATATAAACCGGCGGGATTAAAGGCGAATTAGAGTGATCAATCTTTGTATGAAATCCGAGAAATTTGTACACAATCATAATTTTGTGTGTGGATTAGGCGTGTAAAAATAAAGCGAGAAAAAGATATCGCTGTTTCTTTCCTTCAAGTTGTTTAAGATTGCAATTTTTAAAATTAGATACAAAGTACCCGGTTGACCGAGCTTTGCTCGGTATTTTTCGCTCGTTTTTTTTAATTTGTGTGTTTTGGAAATTGTATTTAGATACAAATTAAATACTGATGAAATACGAATAATATTTTTTGATCATAGCGACGTAATAGAAAAAAATGAACGGGTTATTTGAATAAAAAATCATGAGTGCAATTAGTTTAATTTAAATTTTCGTGTTTTTAAAAAATACTAAAAAAAGGGCACGAAAAATTAGTTTTTCTCAAAAAAGAAAGGAACTTTTAAAAAAAGTCGGTCGGTCGGTCTTAGCTCGAACCATGGTATTATGATTTTGTGACCGCCCAATATACCAATTAAGCTATTTGTAAACATCAATAAACTGTCAAAATTTACCTTCTTATTCTAACGATATTGTAGCAGTTTTTCATTGCCTAAAAACACGGACAAAAAGACATTTGCTCGTTTAAAGGTATAGGATAAACATAGTTGTTGGGAGCACTAAGCTCGAAGTTGTTGACGAGTACGTTTACCTGGGACAAATAGTCCGACTTCGACCGAGAGGTCAATCGACGGAATTCAACCTCTTAAATGTATGGGAATTTATCCCATAAGTTCGTGAGGCTTGAGCCTAAATAAGTCGAATATGTCTTAAATAAAAAATTCCTGCGAAAACTGTCTTCCAAAAAAAAAAAAAAATTACAGTGCGGTGATGATCATAAAGGAACTGTATTCGCGACTTGTCACTGCTGGTAGTAAGAGGGCTGGTTCTTTTTTTACTCGAAGGTTAAGTATGGCCATTCATTTAAGGAGGAAACGCAGCCAGAGTTCTTGGCACTATACCGCGGAAGGACTGTATGATAATTTAAGGTTTCAGTACGAGTATATCCCCAATTTGGTCGGCAAACTTTCGCCTAGGACGTCCCTTTCCGACTCTGCCGTTCACTTCTGCAACGTAAATGCTTGCTTTGTCACTCTTTCCTCGTTCATTCTTTCCATATGACCAAATTACCGAAGCATTCCTTTTTTAATCCTGGTCACAACATCAATTTGCAAACCACACTCTTCTCTTATCACACAATTTTCTCACCTTTCTCACCCTATCATTCAGATTCAACCCTAACCTATTCCTTAACCACCACATATCTACTGCGTTTATTCTACCGTCGTGCTTCTTCTGCCACACCCAACTTTCACTACCATACGTTAAAGTAGGGACCAACACAGCATTGTGAATTGCCATACGTGCCTTTTTTGACACATTCTGACTTTTCACAATAGAGTGTAGGGCTCCATTTACTCTGTTTCCTGCGTTCACTAGTAGATCTACATCCTTATCATAACTCCCATCCTTGCTAAATACGCAACCCAAATATACAAACTCATCTACTTACTTGCTCGATCAACTCTCCTTCTATTCTTATTTAACATATCGTATTACTTTCTTCTCTTTCAAAAACCATCACTTTCGTCTTACTTGCGTTCACTTTCATACCCCTTTCTTTTAATGATATGTTCACTAATGTAACTATCATTTGCAACTCAGTCGCCGACGACGCAAAAATAACTTAACCATCGGCGTACAAAAGTGATTTGACGGTTAACTCACCCATTCATAATCCGCATTCTTTAACTTTTAAATTTTCCAAACAACTGTCTATATATAGGTTGAACAGCCACGGGGAAGCCACAGAGCCCTGTCTGACACATTTATGGATTTCAAACCAGTCCCAGTAGATCCCGTTGATCCTAACACAATAGCGATACCCAAAAGTTGGGCGCTCAACCCAAATGTGTTTAGTGTTTGTCATTACACATCCCTGTCCACTCTGTCATAAGCCTTTTCCAAGTCCATGAACGTAAAAAAAAATTTTGGTTTTTGGCTAAAAACTTCTCCGCGATCATGCGCATGGAAAAGACCTGATATGTACACCCCATTCCCTTTCTAAATTCCGCTTGCATCATATATCATAACTGTTTCAATTAGTACCTTAGCATACAGTTTTCCCACAATGCTAAGAAGGCTGATACCACGGTAGTTTTTACAGTCCTGCTGCGACCCTTTTCCCTTATATATTGAGACTATCACGCCTTTGCACCAGTCTACCGGTACCCGCTTCAGTTCCCAGCATAAATTAAACAAGGTGTACAGCAGGCCTGCCACCACTTCCTCTCCAGCCCTTAGCATTTTGAGTGAAACTGTATCATATCCGGCTGCGTTACCTGCTTTCATTATTTCTTCTATATTTATCTCGCTGTCTCTTTTCTCTTCTTTCGGAGATTCTATTTCATTTATTTTATACGTCGTCTCCTCACTCATAAACACGCTTTCAAAATATTCCATCTCTTTAAACTCAAAACTTCATCATTCAGAATATAACCATTCTCGTCTCTTATAGCATTAATTATAGGCTGTTTTGAATGTCCTTGGCAGTTCTTACAATTTACCAGAACGTTTATATATTTGCCTGGAAGTTATCCGATATTCGTCTATCATTCTTATCCGTTCTTTCTTGCTTTTTCCTTTCAACTACTTCTTCTACTCTCTTATTTAGATGTCTAAAAACTGCCTCTTTTCTTCCAATATCATCATTCGTACCACTAGAATTACCAGCCTTTTTTGTTAGTAAATCTAGCCATGCTCTCTTCTTTGCTTCAACTTTCATAAGTACCTCCTCATCCCACCATAACGTATTATTTTTCCTTTCATTCGTTCTCTTACTAAAATCCACATACTTCGATAGCTGCATCCACTAAACCTTTCTTTACATTTTGCCACACATTCTCCAAGTCTGGCTCATTCATACATAATTAATCCGAACAACTTATATTTTCTTTCAGTCTACATTTGTACTTGTTTTTCTCACCTTCTTCTTTAGCCTTTCTGTTCTAATACGTTGTAATGCAGTGATAGACACAGATGTCCAATGACGCCAACATCTGAATAGACCATTAATTCTGCATAAAACCAAATAATGATCCGTTCCTACGTTGGACCCCCGGTAAACCCTTGTATCCACCACTGCGCTCCTCATTCTTTCATCCACAGTTATGAAATCTATCATGCTTCTATCATCACCTCTTTCCCAAGTATACATGCGAATCCTCTTGTGGCGAAAGAGTGTTTGTGACAAAAAGATGCCTTTCCATACATACGGTGAGGAGGCTTTTACCATTCTCATTTATACTTTCATCACCAAACTTTCCCAATATCCTTTTATAACCAAGCCTCTTCACCCCAACCCTTCCATTAAAATCTTCTAGCATAATAATATTGTCATTTCCCTTACATTTCATTAACACCCTCCTTACCATTTCCCAAAACTGCTCACGGATATAAGTGGGCTTAGACATGTCTGGGGCGTATAACCATATCACAAACAACTTCTTTAAGCCCACTTTCATTCGAATCCATAGCAGTCTTGGGCTTACACATTCATACTCTTTTACATATTGGCCTATTCTTTCTAAAAGGATGATACTACTCTCTGGCACGCCCGCTCGATCTCGTCTACACAAGACCAGCATGCGGTATACATGCCATGTGTAGTGACATCCTTCCCCTTCCGTCTCATTTACACATAACACATCTATTCCTTTATCATACATCATATCGCATACTTCATAAATCTTATCATTCATTGCTCCACATACATTCAGCGTAGCCAAACGGGCTCCTGCAATCCACTTCTCACCCCTCCGGGAGACATAACGTGACGGGTGGCGAACCTCGTTGCCGGTTTTTCCTCGGAGATTCTTCGCACCCTGCCTCATTAAATGTGCGCCGGGAACTCGGGGCCATTTCTTTTATTTGGTTCCTCATGGTGCGAAATATGGGGCGATATATTTTACGCCGCTATCACGGCGAGGAGCAGAGTCCGTGAAAATAAAAAAAAAACTCATTACATAACGTTTATCTCATCTTTTATCTTCTTTGATAAAGTTAAGAACTAATTCAGTTTCACAGGAAACTTTCAACCCACGTTCCTTTTCTTGGTCTAGTCAACTTTGGTTCACTTTTTCCGACTTCATTCTGATTCTAATTAACTCTGAAAATAAACTCACGCTTGCTAAAATAAATAAAATAATTTATCAATTTGCTACTTATGTAGCTACAACCTGCTTCGCCATACGCCGCTTTGCTTAAATAGTAAAATTTTCCTCTACTCCTGTATTTTCCCCAAGGCATTTCGCCACACTTATGTTTTAAAAAATTTCTTTCCCAGTAAACAAAATTAAATGCATCCGATCTTTCCCGTATATTGAGCATCTTGTGCCATAACAAAGTTTGAGCACAACAAAATCACATTTTTTTATATCACGGGTAAGATCGGATACCACGAAGTAAAAAAAAAGAGAATCGTTTGCAACATTTATGTATCTGGTAATTTATAGATCATATTTCAATATGTTTTGAGCGGTAAATATAGGAAAAATACCTTTTATGAACTTTGTTTTCTAAAGAGTAGATTTAAGTCCGGTCTTACTCCTTAATGGCCAATTTTTCATCATGCATATAACAAATTGCCTTATCTTCGCACACGTTAAAAGCAGAAACTGTTGAGTTTAAAAAACCAAAAATTCTAAGTGCTAAACTACGTTTAACAATCAAGGATTTGCGCCATGTTCCAGAAATCTGACGTATATTACGGATGTCGATAAAATGAAGTTTTTGCCAGCCTCTTTTAACCAGTCGAAAATCCGTTCGGTATTACTCCAACGACACCTTAACGACATACAAACCTTGATTACCTAATAGCTGTAAAATAGCCGTTTGGCCAAGCTAGCAGGTAGGCATTCACTCGTAGTACGTACTAATACTACTCAATCTTAGGCGTACATTACATTACACGCTCATGCAGGCGTCAATTAATTCCATCAATCATGATTGGTAAAGACGGATGGTGACTGATAGGCGCACATTACACGCTCATGCAGGTGTTAATCAATTCCATCAGTCATAGAAAACTGGATTATATGATAAAATCATTATTATTAATTGTGAAGTGAAGTGAAGACTGAGAAGAACGGTATAAAATGTTTTCTTTTTTGTGAATTATATAAAAATTCAATTTTAAGTAATAATGATGTATTATATTGAATACTCACACACAAAGTAACAATCTAATTGTCGACTAGGAATCATGTACAACACGGTCACAATATTTCTGCACCTCGTTGCAATGCGATGCCCCACTCGCGTCCCCCTCACCACGCCGCGCTCGCTATCACAATGTATAATTAGTAATTAATAATTGCCCTTTTATTATTATCATCATCGCTGTCACTTATGTCGTTAAATAATAAATAATTTAGTAATAATGTAATACATTTTTTGAATTCAATACTGTTTTATTAAGTTTCCATCACTAAAACCAAAACCATACATGGGATTTAATCTTATATTATTTGTTATTATTCATTTTATTAATTAATAAATATATATTCAATCACAAAATCTTTCAATCTAAGCTTCATACATTTACACCCAGCAGTGGGGTAAAAAGTGCAGAGATAACGTAACCGAGTTATTAAATAAAAGAAATAGATCAGTTTTCTTATTATTTAATCCACAATAGTTTAACTTCTAGATAATTTACCTTTAATATAAAAGATATATTTACAAGAGAGAAATATACAATTTTACCGCTTCTTTTTCTTTGAAGCTTTTTCAATTTTTACTGACTTAGACTTTGATGAAATATCAAAAACATCCCAATATCTACTACTTGATTTTTTTTTGTCATTTTTAACTGTTCCTTTCCTGTGCTCATTTTCACTATCACTATCTTTTTGTTTATTTTTGCTCTGTTTTTTCTTCTTGTGACTTGTAGTATCTTTTTCATTTACTTTCTCACTATCCAGCTTACTTTTGCTTTTACCTTTCTTTCTTTTTCTGGGTGTATCCTCACTGCTACTGTCACTACTGCTTTGACTACTACTACTGTCACTACTACTACTGTCACTGCTACTACTCTCACTGCTACTACTTCTATCTTTCTTTTTCTTTTTGCTTTTAGTTTTACTACTATTTCCATTATTGCTGTCATTTTTACTTTCCTTATTTCCTAAGCTTTCACTCAACTCTTCATTTCGTTTATTACTTACATTTGCTCGTGTGTGGAGATCCTTCTTAGAATTTACTTTTTTGATATTTTTATTATCCTTTTTCGGATCCACTATACTATCTTGTTCTTCGTCCTTTTGATTTCTTTTAGATTTATCATCTTCATCTCTTCTGTACTCTTCGCTGGTATTGTTTTCTTTTCCATCTCGCCAGTTATTATCCGACCTTACATTCACAAGATTTTCTTCATAATTTCTTTGCCTTCTTTTGTCATTCTTTTCTTCTCGATCATTCCTTCTAGTTTCATAATCACCTTGCCTTCTATCTTTATTCTCTCCATCTCTGTACTGTTCACTAGTATTGTTTTCTTTTTCATTTCGCCTATATTTCTCCGATCTAACATTTACACGATTTTCTTCTTCATGTCTGTGTCTTCGTCGTTCTTTACTGTCCTCACGACGTCGGCTATGCTCTTCATCGGTATTACGCCTTCTTCTGTCATTCTTGTCATCTCGATCATTCCTTCTGGTTTCATTGTCATCTTGCCTTCTTCTATCGTTCCTATCACCCCGATCTCCATTTCTTAATTCGCTATCAATGGCTTGCCTTCGCCTATCACTAGTATATTCTCGTTCTCTTCTAACTTCCTCGCGGTCTACTCTTCTCGTTTCAAAACTTTGATCTCGATTTCTTCTATATTCATCTTTTCCATTCTCTTCTCGTCTATTCTCTTGTCTTTTATCACGATTGCTTTGTGTATCTCTTTCCGATCTCTCTGGCCTAGAATTCATTCTACTAGCACCTTCCCCATATGTCTCATAAAAACCATCATGACCCCATTTTTCAGGTTGTGATTCTTTGCTTTTATTCTTTGTCTCTTCATCAATACTTTTAGATGTTTTCTGCTTTTTATTATCTTTTAATTTCTTCTTTTTATCGGTTTTATTAGTTTTATTGCCGCTTTCGTCTTCAGATGAATCTGAAAATTTTAAATAGACAACACATGTATTAATGTAACAAACATAGCCTTACTAATAATTGTCGGTCACATCACATTCCATTCTTTCCCAAAAATTTCCAATATGCAACGTGACGGTTATTAGTTAACCCATGCTAACATTATTCTGTACGTGATATTATAGCCTAAGTGCCTTATATATACAATATTTAATGTCGATGTCATATTGTGTCTTAATGTACAGTATTACAAACAAGTACTAGCGCAGTACATGCTACAGACAGGGCATGCTAATGAAATCGGATCAGGTGACCCTAACGAAGCTTGTGAGGAATGCTTTGTGGCGGGACCTGCGTCGCTCTTATGCAATTGCGATACAAGCGGTAATAAAGCAAAACAAAACCTAAAGGCTTTGCTTAGTAGCTTGGAAGAAGTCACATAGCCTGAGGTTCTCTCTGAGATCGAAGACTATTATGGTAAACTATATGCCTCACACAAGCTACAACCTGACTTGCGACAATCCCAGAGCCACGCTGGGGAGATTAAGCTGATCCTGGGCCAACTTAAAAATGAAAAAGCCCCTGGTGAAAATGGAATTCCAACGAAGCTCTCAAAGGCTGGGAATCAACGCTTGCTAAAAGAGCTCTGCCGAGTTTTCAACTGCATCTTACGACATGGGAAAACTCCAAAAGCATGGGTTTCGAGAAGGATTTTGCACTATAGCAGGGGTAACTGTACGTCACGACGCCCTGGGGCGTCGGGGCTCCATCCCAGGGACGGCGTACAGATGGCTGTGTCGATGCGAACGACGATTAATAATCGTAATTTAATTATACAAAATTTGACGACAAATATTTGGACTTTGGATTTAAAGGAAACATAGAACTTCCTCAATGTGCTGTCATAAAGAGTTGGCACCTGAAAGTATGTTTCCTAATAAACTAAACGTCATTTGGAAACAATTCAGTCATCTAAAAGGTAAGCCAAGAGACTTTTGTTAGAAAATTGAGAGAATTGAAACATCAGTTTTCCGGCTCTGCTTCCAAGAGCATCAGTTCTTACCAAGGCGTTGCTCGCCTCCTACAAGGTAGCTTACCGTGTTGCCAAATGTATAAACCCACACACAATTACTAAGGAAATGATTTTACCTGCAGCGGTTGATATGGTATCAGTGATGATTGGAGAATCGGCAGCTAAAGAATTAAAAAAATGTACCTCTTTCAAACAATAGGATTAGCCGCTGCATTCAAGACGACCGGAGATATTAATAAGCAAATTGTGGAGAAACTTTCAGGCTTATTTACCATTCAACTTGATGAGGCGACGGATAATAATGACGATGATAAATTGATATGTTACGTGCGCTACATACAAGAAATAAATGTGTGTGAGGATTTGTTATTTTGCAGAAAAAGCTACTGATTTATTTGAGATCTTAGAATCATACATGATCCAAAATAATATTAAATGGGAGAACTGAGTGGGTGTGTGTACAGATGGTGCTCGAGCAATGTCTGGACACTATGGAGGACTACAAGCTCTCATCAAAACCAAGGCTACTAATGTAAAATGGACACACTGTGTCATACATAGAGAGGCCTTAGCTGCAAAGAAAATTACACCTGTTTTAAATTTTGTGATGGACATAATTATCAAGTGGTGAACTTCATTGAAACACCTGTGAAAGCAAGATTTTTCCATAGTATTTGTGAAGAATTGGGTGCCGAGCATACTTCTTTAATTTATTATTGCAACTCTCGTTGGTTGTCCACAGGCAATGTACTAATGTAATAATGTATTGCACAAGTACACGAACTACGAAATAAGTTTTACACTTATCTACAGACAGAATCACACAATGATGCGCAAAACTTTATTAATACAGTTTTTTTTTTAAATAACTATATGGCCCTTGGTATTGTGATAATAATTCTGCCAATGTCCGGTCTTCGGTCTGTCACACCTTGTCTTGAGGCTTTCCGGTGGAAAAGGAGTTAGTGGTTATTAGGTGAGAATGTGGATAAAAACAAAGCAACTAAATATATGAATTGAGGACCACACAATATAGAGTAAAAATCTAGTTAAAGGAGGGTATTAGCCTGGGCAGGGAATATAGAATTAGGTTAAGCTAAATTTAGTACACAATAATTATACTTTAATATTATACATTCGAATATATTTTGAGATTGTATTGACATATATGGAATCGGGGATAGTTAAGAGGGAATTGATATTAACTGGTCGAGGGATTGTTTTGGGAAGGATGTCATATAAAGAAATTGGGTGATTTTGACAACTGAAGAAAATGTGGTCTGGGGAACCTTCATCCAGACCACATTCACAGAGGGAATGATCTTTGATTCTAATTTTAGCTAGGAATGCAGGAGTGCAGACATGCCCGAGCCTTAAACGACAGAAATACAGAGTTTATAATAAAATTGGCATATTTCTGTAACATATTTCAAAAATTAAATGACCTTAAAAATTTTTGCAGTGAAACAATACTCACATACTGCAACTGGCAGATAAAATCACTGGGATTCAGAAGAAGTTGCAAGAGCAACTTAAACTTAAAATTATATATAGATTTTATAATGCCTTCATAGAAAAGTAGTCTCTAAATATAAGTTTTTATGGGTTAAAGTGCTGTGGGTAGGTGCATATTTGACCGCTTGAATTTTGACGGAATATTGAAGCGGTCAAATTTGGCCACTTGGTGTTTAAGAGGTTAAGGCCTATATTAATTATAATAGGTACATAAAATGTAAGTGGGTGATGTATTCGCTAACAAACTGCTCTGCAGTTTGGTGAAAGTTGTATAAAGAACAACAGACTGTATTTTTGAGTAATAAATTAAAGAAACAATCTGAAGACAAGTCTTCAACCTGTGCATTCCGGCCGTACTCACTTATCGTGACGAAACATGGACACTGACAACTCCACAAGCTCAAAGTTGTTAAGAGAGCGATGGAAGGTGCTATATTCGGAGTTTCTCTGGTGGTTAAAATTCATTATGAAGAAATCCACCGAAGAACCAAGGTTACTGACATAGCCTTCCGTTTCTATAAACTGAGTGGCAAAGGGATGGTCATATCTGTCACAGAAGGGATAACTGGTGGAGTAGACGTGTTATGGAGTGGAGACCGCGTCTAGGCAAACATAAAGTGGAGCGATGATCTGCGCAAGGTAGCTGGTAGAAACTGTGCGTAGGCGAAGATCGGGCTAAGTTCCGCGCATTGGGAGAGACCTATGTCCAGCAGTGGGCTGCCGCATGCTGATGATGATGTAAATGAAATATATATATTACAGCTTTCAGTGGAATATTGTATAATATAATAAAAAAATTATCAAAACAAACAGATCATTAGATTAAACTTGATAAAGGCGGAGGATAGATCAAGTAATTTTATATAAGTGCATCATAGTCTTACCACTAGAGCTAGCATTGCTTGACGAAGAATCATCTGAGCTACTTGAGCTGGAGCTGTCTGAACTTGATTCCAAGTTGATTTCCGTAATTGGGGCGGGAACATTCTGAAAAGAACAATCACTCCTTAAGTTTTACTAATGTTATCTTCTTTACATATTTTCTAATACTACTTTATGTTATATTTCACAGTGATTGAGTAATACATTCATAAACACTCACGCCTGTCACCCAAAGGGGTAGGCAGAGACTACAGACTTCCATTTGGCACGATTCTGACACACCTCCTCCTCGAAACACGCCTCCTTCGCATCCATATACCTACGCATACATGCTCGTCGGTTAAGGGTAGTCCTAATTTGGCCCGTTTTCAATAAATCGCTAATTTGTTCGATAAATTTTCGCCTAGGACGTCCCTTTACAACTCTGCCATTCATTTCTGCGACATAAATTTTCCTTATCACTCTTTCCTCATGCGTTCTTTCCACATGACCAAACCACTGAAGCATTCCTTTCTTAATCCTGGTCACAACGTCATCTTGCAAACCATACTCTTCTCTTATCACACAATTTCTCACCCTGTCATTAGATTCCCATTTCATATAAACTGAATTAAATTAGAATGTCAAAAATTTCGTTTTTATGCTGAAGATATATGATAAACAATGACTGAATGAAATTAAGGTACACTATTTGTTTGTGCACATTGATTTTAATTCTAAATTAATTTGTTTGCTGCAGCTATGGGTTATCGGAGTGCTCTGAGGAATCGTTCGGAGTACCAATGCACTTATAATTACCATACACATCTAGATGCTTGGTAGTTCATTGCTGTGTTTCTGAAATTTTCTATCTCGCACAACTTCTTTGTGGAATTATTTACTGATATGCCTTAGGGACCTTCAAGAAACGAGCTTACCCTTTTTTAAAAGGCCGGCAACGCACCTGCATTTCCCTGGTGTTACAGTTGTTGATGGGTTGTGGTTGATACATACCATCAGGTGAGGCACATGCTCATTTGCACGCATTGCTTTAAAAAAAATCTGTAATATGGTTGTGAACAATCAGTCAACTCGACCAAGGAAGGACCACACATTCACAGAAAACCAATTTAAAATAACAGCTTTATACTGCTGTGTTTTGTATGGTGAATAATGAGTGTAGAGAACTGGAGATGATTTTACCAGTAATGAGGCACATTCCATCTTAGTCCTCAGGGGCCTGACAATGCATCTACGTTTTAAATCTTAATAGAGGATAAAAGTGTGTCTATGGGCCACCGCATCCAATTACCATCAGGTAGACTGCATGATCATTTGTGACCCTCCTTCTAGAACAAAAGAGAACATGTAAAATAATCCACTACCTCATATCATCTCGTGGCGTAGTAAGAGGTGACTGAAGGAAACTGAAACTGGGCATAGGCATCATCTTTCTGATATCAACTCAAAATAGGTAATAAAAAATCTGTCTGCCAAGTGTGGCAACTATGGCTAATATCCTCCTGATTTATGATTAACTTTAACAGGATGCACCACAGTTAGTAAAAAAGTATTTAGGGATAGTGACAGTCAAATACTGGTATATCTTTTCAAATATGGCGAATTGTAGCTTCCGAAACTAATGATGAGGAGCAGTTCTGTCTTCATCAATTCGTGTTCTTAGTATGGTGAGTATGGAAAAATCTTGAAGCGGCTTTCAGACTACGCTATAATATAATAGCATATAGTATATAGCTCATAGCACAACAATATCGCACACCATACATTGTTATGGACACATTCACACTGTACTGTACTATATATTATTGGCTTTGTATGGTACATGATATTGTTGTGCTATGAGAATAAAAAAATAGCTGATAAAGAATATGCTTGATTTTTAAGTTTTGTTCTCTCATATTAGTTAGTAAAACAATGAAAAACACTAGAGCTTAAATATGAACATATTTAACAGTGTATAGTGAACAACATAGTTTTTATAGTTTAATGTTGTATCTTGCCTATTGTATAAATATACATTTATTATACTCAGTCTCATTGATTTAAAGAAAACTCAAGCAATCTAAATTAAACTTACCTTTGGCATTTGCTTTAAATGTTCTCGTAATTCATCAGTGAGTCCTCCAAGACCAATAGAGGTAAAGAAATTTATGGAGAAGCGAGTGTTCTTTGGATTGTCACGGGGGAAAAGCCCACTGAACGCTTGTTGTAATGTTCTGAAAGAGAAAAAGTTAAAATCATATTATTACAAAATTACAACAGTTATATAAACAAAACAGTTTGGAATAGTTCATGTATCAATGGTGAAGCAGGGTCTATTATGGAGTTGCAATTTAAAAAAATATACGTGTGGCACTCGGTGACTGCCGCTGTAAAGCTATTGCATAGCATTTTTATCAACTTATGCGATTATAATTATTTATTTATTTTATTTATGCAGTTAAGTCTTTGATATTAAATCAAGTTACACTTTTTGAGCATGGTGACCGATAAGAAAACAATTTTTTTTCTCTTATTGAATAAATGAGAAGTTAATATTGTTTAAAATATTTTTAATATCTTACAATACATGTAGGTTATTCAGGAATTTTTATCATTGAGTTAGCAGCTAGTGTACACGCACATAAATACCGTGCCGAAGTCTGCCGAACTAAAACGACGTTAGACGATGCACGGCTTTCAACGCCACACCTCCGTGCCCGTCGGAGTGGGGAGCGTGAGGTTTTTTTCGTTACGGAATTTCTGGATTCGGTCCCCGCGCTCAAGGCCCGCGATAGAAGCTATGCAATAGCTTAAAATAAATTATGTTATTATACCTTTTAAAGGTTTTTTAATGGAAAACCCATATCCTGTATGTATTTCAACAAGGTATACTATGTAAGTGCCGATTTATCACATGATCAGTGGTGAAGGAAAACATTGTGAGAAAGCTGGCACGTCCAAAAGTGGGTCTACGGCCAAGCACAAACAGAGCATGAGCTGAGCACAAATTCGTGTAGTGTGGACTGACTTTCAAGCCTAGAACGAGAGCACTTCGAGCGTTTGGTTCATGCTCGACTGTGCTCAGCCTAATGTCGGTTTTGTGAAGAACACGGAGGGATTTCCTTCACATGCATCGATTTGCATGTTGTAGAATCGTTGTGCATCCACACTTGAAAAAATATTTTCAGAGACATGTGGAATTTGCTAACATACATTGGGGCAAAACATGGATATTATCGTGCCCTAAAACTCACTCAGAAATGTGAGGAGGCCTGTGTCCATCAGTGGGATGTATATTACACCATAAATTTACTTTACTATACTAAAATACATTACCACACTATTATGCTTTTAACAGAAATTAATACTACTACAATTTAAACAGATACCACCATTGTGTATAATTAGTACCAGCTACTAAACCACTGTCTCAGTATGAACTATTCCTAATTAGAACTCACGGATCCTTAAGTCGCTCATTGAGCTTTTTCAAGCCCATATATTCAGCCAGCTCTTGAAACAAAATTTTAATATAAATACGACTTGAACTTGTTGTATCTTCTTCGTTTAATCTGACACATTCCATAACTTCCCAACTAATTGAGTCGGTAAATAAAAGATGAGCAAAAAACTTGCTGACATTTCTCAGACGGTTTGTATCCAATCTGTGTGCAGTGGAATACGAGTCCTTAAAGATCTCTTCAAATGGCCCAATGTATATTTTATTAATATTACAGAATCGTTGAGCAAGTAAGCCATAAAATTTCTCATAAGTCCTCTGCTCTGCACAGCAGTCTAGAAACATATGACAAAGTTCTACTTCCTGACCGGGTTTCAATTGCATTTTTAGTAGTTTATGAGCGCATTCTTCAAAGTCTAAACTTGAGTTGATAGTTAAATAGATGGTGCGACGTAAAGCAACAAGATTTGTCTCTGTGTTATCTATGATGGTCATTTCTTTCTTTTCTTCTTCTTCTTCTTCAGACTCATCACTACCTGATTCACCAGAACCATCTTCTCCTTCCGATTCTGCATCAGAACCAAGAATCTCTTTGCTTAGAGTTTTGTATTTTTGCTCATTTTCTTCATATTTGTCATCAAACTTGAACACATCTGAAATTTATAATAATATATTATAATGTTTATATTTACAATAAATTGCATAACGCATCTGCATTTTGATTCTTAATTGAAGATAAATGTAGATGTCTATGGGCCGCAGCATCCACTTATCATCAGGTGGACTGTGTGCTCATTTGTCACCCTCATTCTATTAAAAAAAATTACATCTTAGTCCTCCTTGCTAACAATCGCTCACAAAGCACCATTCACTTAGCCTTATTTACTTGAAATTGGTTGCAGATGTCCATGGGCTTCAGTAGCCACTTACAATCAGGTGTACTGAAGCTTGATTGCGATTTCAGATTAATAAAAAAATTATAACAAATACATCTTACTCAGGATGTCCTGTGGATCAGTGGCATCATCTAACATTAAGAGATGAGTGAATTGCTCCTCTTCAGGTACCAGTTCTAATTCTTCTATTAGGGCTGGATGATCTTTGAAGCCATCTTTCCACACTTGGAACATGACTTCAATCATGTACTGTACCCTTTTATCTAATTGCCCTTCATGTAAAATATTCCTTAGCATCTCAAATATGGCATTAACACCTTTCGAAGAAACTTCTGTGAGTTTTTGCCCACATTCTTTGAGGAAAGCAATGGCTACTTCCACGGAATCATCTGTTGGAGTCTCCACAAGTAATGTTAATAGTTCTAATGCAAGGATTTCATGGGCGACACGTTGATTGACAAGATGAGCGATAAATGAAGCTGAAGATATACATATAGCCTTATCATTCCTTTTGAAGCCCCGTTTGAATTGAATCACCAAACGCTTTAACAATAATTCACCAATGTTTGGAAATCGTGAATTTACAGCAGCTACTAAAGCAGCATACACATTAGTAAATGTGGGTGATGCAGCTTGGGCCTGAATTACTGATCTACAAAGTAAACCTCGTCCCCTCACAATATTTTCTTTCAAAAGTTCTTTAATTATAATACCAATGTTGCCTACATTTATTTTGTTGATGTGACCGTGTATAGACTTTTTTAGAGCTTCCCAAGCCAATCTTTGGTATGCGACTGAAGATTTGTCTGTTATTTGAGCTTGCATCATCCGGAGCCGTGCTGGAGGAATGTAAGCACCACCAGTCCTGGTGTTCAACATATCAGTATCTTTCACTTTTCTTTCAGTTATTTCCTTTTTGTTTTCTTCAGGCATTTTATTAGGAGTATCATTTCGACGTTTGTCCTGCTTAGCGATAACATCTGGAGATCGTGATTTGGAATGCTTCCGTTTACGTCTATAGTCACTTTCACGACCTCTTTGATTTTCCGATGGGGACCGCGATCGTGCTCTTTTAGACCTATTTTCTTTACGATATTCAACAACAACATCGTGTTTCTCCTTTTTCCGTTTGTTTTCTTTAGCTTCCATCTTTAGGGTAAATTGATTCAAATTTTAAATATTATGTATGATATGCGATAGTTAAAAACCTTACGTTTATGCAAAGTGAAACAAAAACACACTACAATATTAATTTAGTGTACATAATATTTCACAAATTCACAACGTGATGCAAATTCAAAACAGTAAATTTGCAGCCATTTTGATGTTAAGTTTTGACAGTTGACACGGTTGACACTTGACAGCAAATTAGTCTATGGCTAACCATAAACAATGACCAAAGATTTGATTTCGTAGACAGAGAAATGTTTTCTGTGATGTGATTTTATATGATGGCAAAAGGATCTTTACCATATGTAATTCCTACGTTTACCAGATAGTTGATGTCGATATTACTATCCTAAGTCGCTTAAGGAGATATAATAATATTTATTACAAAGAAATCAACTGAAATAAATAAACCAGAAAAGCCGTAAAAAAGGAAGGAGGTAGCAAGATAAGTACAGAACATTATTTAAGGATGAAAAAATGAAAGTAATGAAAAGCATTTTTACAGTGATAGAGCCACGCGGCAGCTTTTATGTTGCACGTACGGGCCAACTCTAACCGGGGTGGTACTACGACTTCACAGAATACCGAAGTGAAGTGAAAGCTCGGCTTCCGCGTTTCGTCTGGTGAGTGCAGGTGGCCGAAGGCCCAATTCCCCCCCCCCCTCCTTAACATGCTATTGGAATTAAGTAAGGAACTACCCCAGGAGGGTACCAGCACCCCTGGAGAATCCCTCGCTGAGCATCCACGACCAAGTTACTCCACTCCTGAGCGTGGGTTCACAGACTACCCCGCGTATTCTGGGGGGGGGGGGAAGGCAAAATTCCGCTCAAGACAATAACTGCTCCTCCATCCGTGAATTTCTGCAATATCACGGGACTTCACTCTAACCTAAACGCCGTCCACTACCATCTCGTGACGGCGAGGCTGCCTCTGCTCTTTTTGACCGAGACGCAGGTGTCAGCTCCGGCCGATGCTTTGTATCTCTCATACCCGGGGTACATACTGGAACACTCCTTTGTGCCTCGGGCTGGTGTTTGCGTATATGTCAGAGAGGACATCTGTTCTCGATGCCTCGGCAGTCTTGAAGGTTCGAACCTGTTCATCCTTTGGCTACGCGTAGACAGTGATGACCATCCACGCGTATACAGATGCCTCTATAGATCCCATAGTGGAAATGCCGAAACAGACCGACTCTTCGACCATGTCCAAATTGCTATAGATCCGTTGCTACAGCAGATCCCCTCCGCAGGGATCGTGATCCTCGGCGATTTTAACGCCCACCATGCCGAACGGCTTGGTTCACGTTTAACAAATCATGCGGGGAGATCTGTTAATGATTTTGCCTTGGCATATGGTCTGACACAACTGGTTACTTCACCTACGCGGAGTCCAGGTGTCTCTCATCCGGACGGATATTAGATTTCCGTCGATACCACTTTAGAATCCTTGGACCATTGTCTTGTCCTGAGTGTGGTGCCCCTCACGCTGAAATCGCGGTAGCATTTTGAAGGCTGCCGCCGTGTTTGGCAATGCAATCCACTCCGATTATAACGCGCTTGCCTTTCAACTGGTCATGTACGGTCTCTAGATGTTGCAGATGATGGTCAATGTTATGGCTATATTTAAAATATGTTGAGACGACGTAGAGAACGTAATTCTCCACAATTCGTAGGGATCATCCGTGTTCTCTTCTGGTGAAATTAAAAACTACCGAATCCCGCGAATAATGGATTTCAGCGGCTAAGCAAGTGACTCCTACAGTTGGTGACATTGTACCTAACGCATTACACGAAATGGCTAAGAATCCTATTTTTGTTCGTGAAGCACTTACTCCGCATAGCAAAATGTTATTTTATAATGCAAAGAAAAATCTGCGTCCAACATTTGAATTTGTATGGTGTAAAAATGGTAAAGTTTTTGCAAGGAAAACAAAGGCAAGTAAAGTGCATTTGATTAGATCGATGTCTGAAATTACATCATTAACTAAATAAAGTGCCTACCTACCAAGTTGTAAGTTGGTAGGTCTTTATTTATTTACTATATTTACGTCACATATAATTTAACTGAAATACAATATTTTTTACTTACACCTAGTAGTGATGGAAAATAATAATATTACGTACTCATCCGAAATAACTGAATATTTTGACTGTATAAATTGTAATAATTTCATCAAAAAACTTCCATATTGTCACGTTAACCTCTTATGTATACATGTCAATATACGTTCCGTAATGAAATAAGCTATGGAAATAAGTTTACATCCTATTGATATAATATTATTCACCGAAGTAGCTATAGCACAGAACATTTGTCATTTGTATAATATTCCAGGCTATAAAATGTCCTCACAACTTCGTAAGAATAGAAAAGGCGGAGGTTTTATTGTTTATGTAAGAAACTATTTAAAATTCACGCAGTTAGACTATACTTCACATACATTCGAGTCAGTAATAGGGTCTGTTAAAACACAGTGTAATAAAATAATCACCTTGTGTGCTATCTACAGACCTCCGTCCTATAATAAACAGCTGTTTATAAATGAAATTACAATATTATTAAATAACTTACAGCACTTTGTTAATGTTGTAATCGCTGGAGATATGAACATAGACCTAAAATTACCATCAAATATTAGAGATAAGTACTTAGACCTGCTGGCAGAGCAGGGACTGAAGTAGTTAAGTTTAATCTTCTTTCAATACGTGTATAATCGGTGATACCACAATCACCGATTATACACGTATTGAAAGAAGATTAAACTTAACTACACAATCTTGCATTGATCATATCTTTGTGCTCTCCCACACAACAACCGCCCCTCGATACTGTACTGGCTGGCGGATTATCGCTTGATCGTGGTTGCATTATGCAGTATCCGTGAATCAATAAAAGTTAGCTGTATCGCAAGTAAACAAATACCTATATATGACCCTGTAAAATTAGGCGAGGAATTATGTACGGCGGAATGGTCTCATATTGATGGTTTGTAGTCATCGCAACAAATGTACACTTTCATCAAAGATACTTTTAGTAATGCATATTCTAGGACAACGAGAACTATTAATAAAACTCAGAATTGTATCGACAGGCGCCATGGATTAATAAAAAAATTATTAATTTGAGTGATAAACGTGATGAGTTATTTAATAAATGGAAGAAAGACCAAAATAACGTACTATTAAGATTAGAATACAATAAAATGAGAAATAGGGCAAACATGGTAACTGATTATTACAGAAATTCTTATTATAAAAATAAAATAATTAAAAATTTTGCCAATTCAAGAAAATTATGGCAAATTTTAACGATATCGCTGGAAGGATTGAAAAATCAATAGATGAGGTTATATTAAATGCCTTTAAATCATAATCTTTACCAATACGTAGCAGACAATTTTGCAAATAAACACTCCAAATAACCAAACTGCAATAAAATATATAAAAATATTGCGCGCTAGTTACATCTGGCACTAGCGCCATCTAGTTCGTACAAGCGAGAGAGAACTTTCCAGAAAATACTCACATCTTTCAACTACACGCCATCTTTTGTCGAAACGAAGAACTAAGCTTCTAGAAGCCCGACACTCGAACTTTCGATGCTTAGTCGATTGGCGTGCGTATTTACTTGAATATTCTGTATTTTTTGGTGCTAAGGTGTATTTATAGGCGCTGCAAGGTGCGATGGAGGAAGTATTGAATTCGGCGAGACAAGCGAAGCTTCGGAGCGGAATAAAGTGAATTAGTGTGCTTAATTATTGGTGTTTTAAACTTTAATTTGTGTAAAGAAAATTAAAGTGTTAATTTAGGTAATTTTATCGGCAATTTTTATTGTCACGAACCTCAAGCTCGTAACAATTGGTGTCAGAAGTGGGATAAAATCATGCCGATTTTACCTAAGGAGGAAACGGAGGGTGTCCGTACCCGAAGTCAACGCCAGCAGGAGACGGACCAAAGAAGATTTGGTGGTGCAACGCCGCAGACTTCGGAGGGCCAGCCGCCGGCTGCAGGCCCGTCAGTAGCTCCTACATCTGCAGCACCTGACTTAGGTGCTCTGATGGTGATGCTGCAGGAGCAGGCTCGCCAACAGGATGAACAGGCTCGCCGACAGGAGGAACAGGCTCGCCGACAGGAGGAACAGGCTTGCCGACAGGAGGAACAGGCTCGCCGACAGGAGGAACAGGTCCGTCGGTTGGAAGAGCAGCTGCGGGGTGGACAGGGTGAACAGGCCCGCCGACAAGAGGAACATACCCGCCGACAGGAGGAAAAGGCCCGTCGGTTGGAAGATCAGCAGGCGGAACAGGCTCGTCGGTCGGAGGAGCAGATGCTCCTCATGAAGGACCTTCATGCTACCTTTGGGAAAGAGATAAGGGAGGTGAAGGATAGGGTTGCTCAACATGACAACCGCCTCTCGGAAGCTGAAACCCAAATCAAGGAAGCTAAAACCCAAATCGACCAAGTGAACAATCGGGTTGATTACGTGGTGACTGACGTGAAGAAAACGCTGGACGACCTCAAACTGGGTGATGGAACTACAGCTCCCGTAGTAGCTACTACACCTTCGCTACGTGGGTTCAAAGTGCCACCGTTCGACGAGACTTCTTCCTGGTCAGCCTACAAAATCCAGTTCGAGGCTGTTATGAAGGCGAACGGCTGGAATAAAAGTCAGGCCATGACTGCTCTCACACTAGGCCTGCGCGACCAGGCCTTAACAGTTCTGGAAGCTCTCGGGGAGGAAGTGACTTATGAGCAACTCCTTGAGGCATTGGAGGCGAGATATGGCGACGCTCACCTGGAACACGTCTTTCGTGCGCAACTTAAAGATCGCGTGCAGCGCATCAACGAAAACCTGCAGCAGTGGGCTCTAGAGGTGGAGAAGCTGGTGCGGAAAGCATACCGGTCTGTACCTGCGCTCTTTGAAAGGAACCCGGTGCAGACATTCATTGACGGCATCCGCGACCTGGAAGTCAGAGATGCTGT